TTCCAGTAAATTGTCAAGTGCTTTTTCAGCTTCCATGTAATTTTATGAAAATACATCCTTGGTAAGTTGGTGTCACTGTGTTTCAAAGCAAGCTTACAAAATGGGACTTACAGGTAACCCGACATACTGACCATTGGTAAGTCCATGTATGTCAACCTGAACTTGTACCATTGGTAATGATTCTGAATGGGGATAAACATGTACATGTATATGCAGTGCAAAAGAACTGAATGTTACGCCCAAAACACATTTCCTCCATAACATAAATCAAAACTTGATTCTGGTCCGATGTATCATTGTAAACAATATCAGGTGACACATGCTATGGCACACACTATGCTATAGTTGAGACCATCCCAACTATAGCGGTAGATTACTGGTGCTACCACACGTACCAGTTTATGTCATAGACCTACATGTACATGTACTCACTAGTACCATGCCCTTCAGTACCTACATGTATATATGACTACAGTGTACTCATTTTGCTCCCCAAGAAATTTATTGAGGCAATGTCTGATTAAGAATGTACTGTTTAATGCCAATAAAATTTAACACCATGGTAAAACATTAAAAATCTAAAATGCCTACATGTACATGTACAGTACCTCACATTCCTTGAACACAACTTGTCTGAACAATATGGTACACAAAATAAAGATGTACAATGTGTGTGTACATAAGGTTTGTACTTAGCGGTAGCACAATGATATGGTGATGACTGGTCCCTAAACGCACCAGTGGTCAGGTGAAAGATACCACATCAGAACACTGTCCCAATTAAGGCTCCTTGTCCAAGTAGCCAACAAAACTGAAACTTCCAGGGCGGACACACAAATCACAGAGGACACTCCTTCAAGACTGCAATGTGCCAATGCATTACCAATTGCCCTGCTTTACACCGTGTATACTCCAACCATGACACCATAAACAGCAGCATCATGAACTGTGGTACAGGTGTATACAGGCCTGTGCACTTATTGGTATGACAGTCAACTATTCAGGTTTCCTATTAAAATGGCAAACTAATTTGGACTCTACGCCCAGTGTTTACTAGCTGTTAGAGTAAAAAGCAGGACCATACAATGTACGGTACATGAACATCTACATGTGTGTGAAGTGCTAAGAAAAGTGCCAAAAATTAACAAATTCCCGCAAAGACATAATATAAGGTAAATGGCAAAGATAAAATTCTCACATTAATGCATAATTAAAGAAAATTAAACGAAAGAAAATGGCCCAACCTAACAACAGCAACTTGAATGTGCCTCTTCCCAAGATGTACGCGTGTACATGTAGTGTACATGTACATGTGCCTTACTGCCACAAAGATATTTCAGCTTGGATGTAATTGTATTTTTTTATATTTGCAATATTTATTAATACTGCGATATTCTTAAAAGTGGGGTATTAAAATGCTGTACCAATATGTCGATATTTACTGGGAACGCAAACTACGTGTCAGTGTGAAGGTTGTTGTCAACATGGCAAAATGCCACTTAACTTGAGAAAGTACTCTCAATCACCGATCCATTTACCAGTATTTTCAATAAATATTATTTATGCGATAGGATAACAAATAGCGAAGATTGAATTTGCTAATTTTTGGATGCAAGAATGATGCTGCACAAAAATATAAAAGGAAAACAGCTGAAAGACTTCCAGGGTTATGTCCACGATGAAACACACCCCAGTATAACATTGTTTAAAATAATAATAATAATAATTTATTCATTTATTAAGTGCAAATTTCATATAGATATGTTGAAATGCGGTGTACAATGAAGACATTAAGCATGGAAATATACAAGGGTGCCTCGGGCAGCCGGCAAATGACCCACATTCACCAACATCAGTAATGGGGAGACAGTAAGAAGCAGTTACAGTTTTAGAGGTGGGAGGAAAACCCCAGAGGAATATTCTGGGTAGGGACTGAAAACCCAACCCACATGTGGACCGGGACGGGAATCGAACCCTGGACCACAGAGGTGGAAGGCAAGGAAAGAACTACCTTGCCAACTTGACTCCATTCAGACACTACTAGAATAAGCTATGCCAAAATCACAACAGCAGTGATAATATAGCTTCAAAGGTTTTTGGCTGATGGGTTGGTAGCTGCTCAAGTTTTATGCATTCAAGTTGAGCTGGACGACCATCTTCGATGACATTATCTTAACCCTAACCCATCCAAGGGTTGCTGGCCCTAACCTTCCCCATTCATTCAAAGTTAAACACCCATATGGGACTTTGTGCACAGAGGCTGTTGGACTTTGTTTTTCTGAGGTACGACAAACCCAATGCAAAAGCCAGCTGTTTGGGCCTACCAGACCTATCCCCACAGAATTAAACACTTTACTGTTTAATTCTGTGTGGTTGGGGAAGGTTAGGGTTAAGATGTCTTATCTCTCCGCTGTTCATGTACATGTAAGTGACAATGAAGACACGACACTGGATGTCTTGAACCGTGAAGAATGGACCGAAATCTGACAATACATGTACATGTATGGTGGTTTTCCTTTCTTTTAAAAGGGTTCTGCAAACATGCTGAACACATTAGCATTGAAATTCCATAATGAGTTTGCTGGTATTTCAGTTTCTACGGATCATCAGTCGGTATTTTCCAGTGGACAAAAAAATCTCAATTCGGTAACACCGAAATACAGTCCAAGCCCACGTGTACAATTTCAGCAAATCTTACGGGGGAAAAGTCATAAAAATAAGTGTGTCAGTCCTAAAAACTTAATTTGGGGAGTTAAAAAAGCTTTAATTTGAAGAAATTAAAATGTAATGTAATCAATGCTGAAAAATAACTACCATAAAGAATGTCTGCTAACCTCCCCCCGTTCTCACTTTAAGTGTTGGACACAATTCTGGATCGAAAAAAGAAGACTACTATTTATTCTCAAATTGCTGCCGAATGCAGGAGAGAATACAAATTTATATACAGTCTGGTACTTCAAATTTTTTTCCTGATTTTTTTGGATACACTGACACTTGGTATCAGTGAAACACATTCACTTCTCCTGGCTGCCTGGGATTATCAAATAATAAGGAAATAAAATTGTGGGAGGGGGTTGTACAAGCCCCTACATGTACATGATGCACTAACAAAGGAAAAAAATTCTTCTACAAGTATATGGTTAATTCAGGAAATTAAGGGTCCAACAGTGTGACATTTTTGTGTCCCTGTTACATCCGACCTTTGTTATTTGACATGGAAATATTTCCGGCATCGATTTCAAACTATTACTATTTGTTTGGCAGGAAATTGCATTAATTTAGCACTCTTGGAAATTAGAAAATGTGTTCTGAACTTACAAAATCATATGTCAGATGTGACAGGGACATGAAAAAAATTGAACCCTAATTTCTGGAATTACCCATGTGTAAATATTGGTATTTGAACAAGTATCAACACTCCTGGTTCTCACTATATACATGTACATGTAGAGAACATTCATTTATTGCCATACTTGGCATGCTTGGTACATGTACAGTACTTCTTAGACTCTTTTTCATTTTGGGGAGAGGGTGACTGCCTTGCTCATCAAATTGTTTTTTGGGGGGGAAGGGGAGCTCTGTTTATTTAATTATGTAACTGGTAAGAATCATGCACAAAATTTATAGACTTAAGTAGGATTCAAGCTCCCAAATAGATCAACCAATCACATAGATTATTGTGGTGTTAAATTCATTTATTAGCATTGGCAAGGAAGTAATAAGTACAGCAAGATCAAAGGAGTACATTACACTTCACTCTATGCACTGAGGGTACATGTACATTGTACAATGGGCGTTACAAACTCCAGGCAACAAGTTATGCGAGTGTGCCCAGTGCTTCATGTATAAAGCCTACCTCAAAGTGCCACGTGGACAAATTATACTACATGCACGCTGAATCTCTAAAAAGGGAAATCTCTGATGCCAATTTGACAGGATGACTTATTAATTGCATTTGACATTTGTTTAGCTTACATGTTTTAAAGTTAAACTTACACGAGACCGATCGCTAAGCCATCATGTGATCTTTGGCTCGCAACAATCTGTGACTCCAATTTTTCCCACATGCCTTGGTAAATGCATCGCAGTGGTCCATTTTCTGCATTTTGCAAATAACAGGGAAGCTAAACAAACGCATCAAATAAGACACAAGCTTTTCTAACAAAGTCTGAAATAACACATGAAAAATGTGAAAAATGATGTGGTTTATTATCCCAATCATTTGCGGTGTGGCGTCCAGTTAACAACTACATGTATTGAACATAAGTTTATAAAAAAAATACAAGTTCCAACTGACATAAACTTAAAAGTCTATTGGAATATTACATGTACATACATGTACCAGTACTTCATTGTCATGGTCAACAGCAAACAATTGTCCCAAGCTGCACAAATTGTTTGACGGAAAAAATACAAAATAAAATAGAGTCTTAATGCAAAGTTTGCGTCAAAAATATTGCAGAATATAGAAGTGTAAACAATCAGGCACACTGCTGTTGAAAAGCGGTGAAGGCTCTGAACTGCATGCAGAAGTTAAACGTCAACAGGGAATTTAATAGCTCTCACAAGAAATTTCTTTAAGTAGGCCTACATCACATGCGAAACAGACCTGGCAAAATCATGCAAAACATGTAGTTGGTGCCAGTCTTTTACGTACAACTGTTGCCTGTGGTTCATGTATCCAGGCAAATTTTATCGCTGTGCACAATTTTCATAGCAATATCTTTGGTTGCGCACTTTCAAAGATTGGGCTCAACCATGTGCCTCCAAAAGGCTCCAACACGTCCAAGATGAAGTCTCTCATTCAACATTCTTGCGTATCAATCCTATGATTATGAATGAAACTGCCAAAGCCCAAAGGAAATACCAAGATTTGAAAATGCATGCGCCTCCACGCAAATCGTACGCTTCCTGAAATGCCTTTGCCCTCACGTTAATCCGTTAATCATACTTAAGCCTAGGCCTATACACATACTGTAACCCTGGGCTCGTACATGTACCTGGGTTTTTAGCTGCAGTCAGTTAGGCTAGCGTTTTTATTCCTCCATGCGTAGCCTGGGGCCTACTGTAAATTTTACATTCACCCGTTCCTCAGTAGGCTTTCGTCCTGTAGCTTCATTAGCTTACATGTAGGAAGTGAGGGGTACGCACAACAATCACTTTTAACTCAAACGCGCTTTTCCATGCATCCACGAGGCTTGAAACGTTAAACTTCACTGTCAAGTTTCATATCAATGCTTATTTCACATCCCAATCTAGCAGTCACACTACACTGCACTGACGAGAGGGCCGGTGCCGGCTGCATGCTGCGAGCTGGCTGCAATTGAAAGTAAAGCGCCCTCTATTTGTCATAAATGGGCTTGAAATAGACCTGCCCGGACTTGAAATTAATTTTTAAAAAAGTGACTTTAACATACATGTAAAAAAAAACTTACTGCATTTTCCAGCCAACTAACCTACCGATAGCACTGAACATAATATCCAAAAGAGAGTTAAGCCTTTGGTGAGTGAGTTTAATATCTCAGAAGTTTAAGAACTACGACGTCGATAAAGATCATGGAAGTCAATTCTGTCAGGTTCCATTGTCAACGATTATCGGCTAATCAGCAGTCGATATTACTCTCATCTTTCAAACATTAATCGAAAGGCCGTCGATAAAAGAAACCATGGAGGAATGAAGACACCAAGGTAAACATCCCGAACATGCATATAAATATACATATGAGTGTGCATGTATAGTTGAAAAGTTCATGCTTTAGGGGTGTAGCAAAACTATTTTAAAACTATTCAATTTCAGCATTCAACAGTTGAAGGCTTTTTGGAAAGAAATTGCTCAGAATTCGTCGCACAAAAACTTTCAGACTCGTGTAATGGGAAAAAATGGCGCACTATGGGGAACTCGCAAAACAACAAAAACTCTAACTAAACCAAGGATTTTTGAGGGAAAAGTTGCAGGAAACTTAATTAATCAGGACTCAGACACCAATATTTGACTTTAAAAAAGCAAAAGAAATAATTTGTTAATGAAAACGTACTAAAAAAATGCAAAACCCACAAAGAAGTTAAGGACTAACTAAAAGAACTTTGAAAGGATTAAAACCAAAACCAACACAGTGTGTAAAATGGACCTCATGAGTTTACACTCTTCAATCTATAAAAAACAAGAGAAGTAAAGAACATACATGTAAGAAAAACAAAAATTCTTGTGCAGGAACTACATGCTGGAAGTATGAGCAGAGATTAACGTCATAAAACTAAAATTGTGCACAGGCCCATGGGGCTCATTAAGGATTCAAATCCCCTGGCAAGTCCAAATAAACAATCAGCTACTGAAGAGAGGACAAACTGAGCAGGGCTTGTTCTTAGGAAAATGGATGGAAAAACTTATATATAACCAATATACTTACACCAAAAAGATCAAGAAAGGTAAGTATCTGAGAATATCAAAGAAATAGAGATCTAAAAGATGATATTTAAGCTTATAGTGTGTTTTCCAGGCATAAAAGCTAGACAAAATTAGGAAAACTTTAGTGATGCCGAAAACTAATACTCAGAAAGAAAATGGACAAATCTTGATAAAAAAGTTCACAAACTGCATAATGTTGAGGAAAGAGGGAAAATCAACTTTACACACGAATACGAAAAGTTTAGAAACTCACCACTGGTGAGAATAAGGCTCAAGCAGAAAACCACACTCCAGTTAGGAGGAACAATACATGCATGTAAAGTTGACTAGTCTCATGAATACATGTATAAATTTATGGGGGAGCTGGGGCTTAAACAAATAAATGAGGGGGGCACACTACCTAAAAAAGTCAAGAACTCTTAACTAAAGCTAAACATTTTAAAGGGGAACTACTTCTATGTAAAAATGTGTATTTAATAACAATCATTTCTGGCTCTTCCACACTCGCTTGACATTCTGAGTAATAGATGTATTATCTTCTAAATTCTTGCGATAATTATCATTTTTTTGCAGGACAAACTCATTGGAAGAAAAAGACCTACAGCACATGTAAGTGAATATTAAACCTGTTTTGTAAGTTGGGTTTAAAACGTGTGTAAAATGTTATGAATTCACACATTGGCAAAGTGGCAGTTTGTTATAAGATGGAGATTTTAAGAGGAAAATCTGGATGCTAGTGTTTGGACAAAACAAAAATCAGGTCAAAAGTCAAATTTGCAGCGGACAATTTAACTAGACCCTGGCTATATACACGCTTGTGATTAAAACTTCAGATACGATGCAAGATTCTTCTTTAAGTTGTATTTATTCTAAAAACTTTTGTTCAAGTTTCAGTCTTTATAAAGCAACTGCATATGGTCTATAGGGACAATTTTGGGATGGCAGGCGATCAACATTTTCAGTGCGAAAATCAAATATTCTGTGTAGCCAAAGTTAATAGAAAACAACATGTGAAATTAAAAAAAAAGAAAAAAGAAAAAAGAATTTTACAGGCTAACAAAGGGAAATTCGGTGACAGGGCCTTACATATGTCCTTCAAAGGTGTGGCCTATGAATGATTGCTTTAATGTTGCAGGACATTATTTATCTGAAAAAATTTGTCTCCACAGTAAAATGAAGATACTGTGCACTTGAATTCGTCACCCGATAACTGATCTTATTATTATTTGTAACACATAAAAGAAAAGTTTCCCAAACGAAAGCGGAATTATGACATATCGGTACCACCCAAACTTTTTTTCATTGTATTGAAACTTCACAAATAATCACAAGTTTGATAATGGACTGACAAATTCCATTTTTAACGTGCAATTCCACATCGATGAAGACAAACAGATGGAAATCAGTTGGTAATCATCAGACAAAACCAAGCTAACTCTTTCTTGATAACTGTAACAAAAAACTGAAACAAAATAAAAACAAAACAAAAAACTGACAAAAAATCAACAAGGCAAACTCTAAATGGGTACATCAATTGCTTTAATGAGACAATACCAAATTGACCGATTCCAAAACTGACCAAGGCGTGTACAAGTCAAAAAGGAATTAACTTATACAAGCTGAAATAAGAATAAAAAGCTAATTTCTCAAGGCCTGTTAGAATGGTAATGTACTGCATAATGTAAAACCAAATTATAATTACAATCAGGAAAATAACAACACACAACTAACTCCATCTTGTCATGCTGCAGAAAGCCAGACTACTTTTTAAAATCTTTTAACAGCATGAAGGGTGTTCTTACCGATGAATTTGGCAGACCTAAATGTTCTTCAGAACCAAATGCGTGGAGTGTAAGGCAAACAATCACATAATGGCCGAAGCAAACAGCCAAAAGCAATTATGCTTGATGCACCTATACATTATTACGCAGACAGAATTACCTGTGAACACAGGTTAGGTCGCACAGTTGATGACAGTATTCACAAGTCAGCCATACTGAATTGAAAGCAAGGTTAAGTTTTTTTTTTTAAGTTTTATTTTGGGAACCTAAGAATATAAATGAGAGCAATGAAAAAACACTTCATTACAAATGTATTTCATTCACGAGAATGGCTTATTGAAAATTTGTGATTCAATATATTTAAACAACCAACACTGAAAAAATGAAGAAGAGATGGAACCCAAAAAATCTGGCACCACCCAATCTGACAGGTCACACTGAATACAATTCAGGAACATGATCAAATATGGCTTCCCTAGGAATGAGATCTGTTGACTCTATGTCCCCATTTCACAGACAGAATTCACAGTTTGTTTTTTTTTTACTTAAAATCATTCTGTTGAAGCATTTTGCATCCTTATGTCAAATTTTCTTGCAACTATGGAAAATGTTTACTGAGTTTTAAAGTTCTGGCGAAATTATTTTGCACATTATTATTTTTGTAGTATGTGTGATGATATAGTGCTCAAATCCCTGACCAAATTGACTACAGACAACCAAATGAACCAATTTGTGGTTATGGCTGCCGACGTGAATTCCATAGGAGTCAGTATATGTTCTCTTAACCATGAAGTGCATAGCTGTACAAACACCTTTATGTGCGGTATACTTAAAAGACATTTGGCTACGTATAATACGGCCGTTTCACAATAGTGCGCCACCAAGAGTTTGCAACGCGTTGGCCAATCACAATGCGCGAAATTTGTCAACCCAGTGCGCGTTTGGAAAGGGTCGACAAATATTGCGCGTTATGATTGGCCAACACATTGCAAACTCACTATTGCAATCGCACTATTGTGAATCGTCTGTATTGAAAGGGCAAGTGCATAGATATAGCCCCTTGCATGAGTACTACGTAAATCCGGGTTTCCATATTGACGTAAAGAGATACAGTTCTTGCTGATGTACAATCATGTGGAAATCTTTGAATGCAACTGATGCAAGTACAGACGTGGACACATGTAGTCAGAAAAGTTTCTACAAGTTCAACTTAGTTCTAGAATTTTACTTTCATTTTCCCAAATGCCCCCGTCCATTTTATGGTATATTTCTATTGCAAGTTGTCCAATAGAATCTCCGTTCTGAGTGCTGTGTCGCACGCAGACTCGTGACCAATAGGGACGGAGTAAACTGTCTCATATCCACGCACCCAGTGCGAGATTTACGCAGCGGGCATTGTCACATCTCAGCGGGCATTATCAAATGTTAATACACGGTCAAGTTGCACGTTGTTGAATAGGGAGACTGTCTGGGGTATTTATGAATATGGATTTAACATCTACACATACATCTGTAGGTCTAACTACCAGAAAGCAATCTTGATATTTACAGTGGGTTGTCACATATTTTAAGTATGGTTTTTGCCCTTACACGATGTATACATATTTCAGTGTAAGGGCAAAACGTGTACTTAAATTAACATCTCCCTGACGCAAAGTACATCTTGAAATAGTCACCACATACTGTTCTTATGGTACTACTGTCTCACATCATGAAGCCTCGTGTATATACATAATAAACACAATTCAATTTTTATTTCAGTATTTACAATACTCTCTGTTGTAATTAAATTAAAAGTACACACATTAGCAATGACAAAACAGTAATGAATACTATGGTGAACACAATTGATACTCTTCAGATTTAACACAGCAACGTGGTCAAATCCATCATAAAAGTCTTACTGGCAGTCAATCACATGGACAGGCCTTGTGAAGGCAACTTTGATGAAGTCAACTAAAATATTGCCACAAAGCAACAGTTAAGTCAGCTCTGTCTTCTCTGGTGATTCGGTGAGAATGACTTTCCTAGCTATTTGTGAGGTTACATGTACCTGCATGTTTGTACTAACTGAAGTGTCTACAATGTAGCTGGCACCTAAAACGCACCCGCACTTTCTGCATAAACTTGAACCCTAGTCAACTGGAAAGGGGCTGTCTGCTTTACATATATGCAAATAATGCTACCCCCCCCGACGTAAGCAGTGGTTCTCACCTCCCCATTTTTCACACGCATGCACATTCCATGTTTCTTTTTGACTTATCACGCCAGTTGTGCTGGTGCTGGTATTAAAGACCTCAATGGTGGGGGGTCAGGTGGGTGAAAAATAATGTGTTACACATGTACCTTTTCACATGTATCAAAGCTGGTCCCTGTAGGTACTGAATGTGAGAAAGCATCTTAATGTCATGAAAATATGTATATTAAAAGCAAACTTCACAATGTGCGTACGTAGAGCCCACACAGGGTGTATGCATGGTCATCGACCGCTGCTGGCTATCCACATGTACATGTCCATACTTTTATGAACGACCCTGATGGCATTAACAACGACATACAAGTATGCCTTATATAAGACCTGATACATGTACATGTTGCCATGTTCAGGAAAATCAACAGCATAAGCACCAGTTTTATAGAAGTTAACTCTAACTATTTTACACCATACTACGCTGTTCTGCACCACACTGATCCTACAATAAACTATAGGATTGTGCACCTGCTACACTGCATCAAAAACTATGCAGTAATATACATACAGTACAAATAATAGGTGCTGCCGACTGGTGAGAATAATTTCATGAGGTGACTGATGGAATGTTCTACTCCATGAGGCTTCGTGGAGTAGAACATTTTCAACATCTGTCAAAATCATTCATTCACTTGCATGAATGTCAAACATTTGTTATGACTTTTAATAAGCACCATTGCATAAATACCCATGCAGTAATTGGGTATGACAGTAGATCAGACTGTTCTACTTACTGCACATCATAGATTAGGATGTTCCATTTCTTAAAATGCGGTCACACAACAAATGATTTGGTGGGATGAATAATTCAACGATACGTGAACTACGACCCAAGTTGTACAAAAACAAAATACCAATTACCATATATATGGCTACACACAATGCACTCCAAATCAAACAACTACATGCACTCCCATTACTTACACCTCATAGCTACAGCGACAAGCAACACAACGTTAATTTGTCATAGGAGCATTTTGATCCAAGGGCCTATCAAGCCTGTCAATTTTCGATCAATCACTGATTCAGCTCTCATGTGGCCGCTACTGCTGCTGCTGTAAACCTAACATTATTTGTTTCCGTTTCCGCTAGGAGGTCTGGCACCCTTAGGAGAGCGTTTCTCTAGTGAGAAGATGTAGACGTTAAAATGGTCAGCGAGCTGAATCACCTGCCAAACAAGAGAGGTGTCGGTTACTGCACTGTCAGTACAACAAACTGAATGTAAACGTGGCCCAATCTGACAAATGAGCCTGAAGTCACCGTGGCCACTTTTGAATTTAAGGTCTTTAACAGAATCTGCACGATGTAAATAGGAAACTCTCAACATTTTGTCAACCATGCAATGTCCATTTTCATCGCAATGCTTAACTGCGTGATGCATCAAAACAACGATCTCACTCTTACAAATTCAAATTAAAAGAAAGTGTTCAGGAAAAAAGGCCATAAGACTCATTTTGAGGGATCCCATGACATTTGCTGCTTTGTCAGCCATCAGGGGCGACTCACAAAACAGTGCACCTCAAGAGGTCGTCGCAGGGATGCTGTTTTTCAAGGTTACGGTTGAGAAAAACATGGCCACCATGCCACAATTTACATTTAAGCGTACGTCGGTAGCCAACTTGGACAAGTTGTTGGTTAATTGGGACATTCCATGCAATCAAAAGAGGAAAGGATCACTTAAAACTGCTTTCTGAAATACACTTGGGAATCTTCTGTCCTGACAAACATTGGCACAGTGTCTTCAGGGGACATCTGCCCCCTCCCCTCGTTTGGATACGTTCCTGCTATTCTGATAATTTCCTTTTACATGTCCAGTTTACAGTCACTTACCACACTGATTGTGTAATGGAAATGTGCCAACAGTGTCACAGCTGCCAAGGCGTACAAGAAATAGAGCTCTGTAGGACCTAAATCTGTCCACAAAGATATAGCTGTCGCAATCATCAATGGCACTAGTAACCAATTGAAGCCTTTGGCTCTGGTTTCCGTCATCTGGCTGATGATTAGACGACACTGCAGGGGGCCAACACAAAAATAAGTGAGAGTTTTCACATTTTGTCTCTCTTTGATTCTCAATTTGTTCCCAAGTTGGAGTAAGATTTGATCTTGTCTTTAAAAACCCCACAACAAATGAAAATATGTGACCAGATTGCACAAAAATAGTCTCAACAAATACGAAATTCATGAGGAGACCAATGGCATGTTTAATTTTCCATCTGTCACCTTGTGAAATCATTCTTACCGCTTATAACCATTCATTACATGTAGACCTTCATCTGTGTCTGTACTCACAGCGATATTCGACAGGGTGATTCCGACGGTAAGACAGAATATTCTGGGCTCCAACTGCAGAATATCGGTGGGAGAGAAAGCGGCCCATAGGGTAGCAACAACAAGCAGCACCATCACTGGTACACCAGGCTCAACAGCACGGAGGGGAGAGCGGTTCTTGCCCGTACCATCTTTGTAGGATCTGTGGTCAATCACATTGACATGAACACTGAATACAAGACAGCGCTGTATAAGAGTCAAGTTCCTTCCATGTTTTAGTGCCAGATATTAGCGTAGTTGGGTGTGGATACAGCTGCATGATACTACATTGGGTAGTAAATACTTAACAGAAATCAACAACTTGAGCATCTTGATGGAAATTCATGACAGCTTTTACAGATAAAAGCCTTGGAAAAAACTAGATGACAACTTGTCATGTCAACTTGTCCCTCAGTTTCATTAATTAAACATTTGTTGAATACAAAGTTTCCAGTTTAGTTGTTTCTCCCGACAAAGACTTCATTTTCTGTCAATGTCTCATATTCAACTTTCAAGAACTCTTTTGAGTGCTCTTGTCCCTCAGTTTAATCAAACAGCTTTCAAATAAAAGTTTCCAGTTTATTTTTCTTCTCCTGGCATTTGCTGTCCACTTTCAATGTTTCTCTTGTTGTGTTTACAACCAACTACAGTGTACACTGTACATGTTTAATGGTAGAGAAAGCACTTGTATTGGCCTCCAACTCTGGTACAAGAATAACAAGAACATTTAGCAGTTCACCGAGCTCGAGACAAGGTAAGGAAGGAAAGATGAGGAAAATATATACATGAATGTGGTACAAAACCCAATCCACAGTCTTTTGTGTAGACTTAGAGTTTAATTCCAAGTCAGAACATCTGAGAATTGATTTTGAAATAAAAACCCACTCAGTTCATTATGTTTAACAATGGGCACTTTCCAACAATGTAATGCCTATAGGAGTTTGTCGATATTTCAGGATGCCAATAGAAAAATATTGATAAGTATTAATTATTGTACTTACTGTGAAAACGTTGAAAACTTTGGACGACCCTTAAAGGGTAACGTCTGATTGCAAAACCTCAAGAGATCTAAATTGAATTCATTTGTTCATCTGTAAAAATGAACTAGAGTCCTCCACATTACAATACCGACAACACTTTTTTGGATGAACTCTTGGAATTTCACTTGTAGATGACCTACATGTACTTGTAAATCTATGCATTGATTAACCAACTTACACGTAAATGTTCCAGATGGTGTTGGGAAGAGACAGAATCAGTGAACCACCTGTGACAGGATACCAACAACAAGGAATTAAATGCATGTAAAAATGGCCTGCAAGTGATTGAGGGGTGTGACTTCTTAAAATGGTGACTGGTTTAAAGTTTGGATGACAATGTTATTTGAACAAAGTACTGGGAACAACATGTCTTGCATGTCCTAATATTGGATGGGATTGAAATTTTTTAATTAGAGTTTTTATCCAAAACACGCAGGTGATGCACACCAATCAGCCTTCACTTCCAATCCAAAGCCCTGTCAGGGCTGTGTGGAGCTGTCAAGTGTGTGCATGTATCACAGATGGGTGTTGTAGCAAAGATAGCTCAGCAATGTTGTCTCAGGGAGTAAGGAGGCAATGATGCAGAGAGAAATGTCATAAAACTCTTAAACAAATGACCACTGTGGGTTAGCATTAGTCTAACTTTATGAAGGATTGTGAATGTGGTCTCTTGTTTTGAAAAGTCAATATTTTGGGCTGGAAGAGGTATGACTGGGACAAACTCATGAAGTAACACTGTCCACAAGAAGTTAAGAGGTTGAAAACCAAGCATTTAAAAAAATCCATAAATATCTACAAGAGACTTGATTCTTGTCTGAATATGTAATGAAGACTACATGTTCATGTCTTTTATTGTCCTATGTTATAATATGTATGTCTGTCAATAGGTTAGGATACAAAAGCAAATCTATGCTTCACCCTTTAACTAAATGTTGCTCTTTAACGTGTGCTTTATCTTTCTGCTTGACATTGTACATTCTAAGGCAAACTATTGTAAAACTTAATTCATCTTCTACTCAGTAACTGTGGTATGAACAACATTAAATAAACGTCTGTCCAAAAAAAATTCATAAACTCACCCAAAGTGGTTAAAATGAAGAAGTACCTGAACTGGAAGCCATAGGCATAAGTCCCCTTCCAAATGTCATAGCCAAAGATACCAGTCACTATGTACACCACTACTAATGCCTGCAATGAGACCAAAACCAAGACATTGGAACTCAGAATTTACTTGTACATGTACATGCCAGGATTCATGCAGGGAGGTGAAAATTCAAAGGTTTTAAAACGCAATGTTGGGCAATTTTGTATATCAACGTCAAGTCAGCATAGTTACATCTATGTGTAACACTGAGGGTGAAATTCTGATGGATAAATATCATGTGAACACGAAAACAGAAACAGAACAGATTTATTGTTCTGGTAAACCTTTTTGAAACTTGTCAAACAAATTAAATTCCATCATCCAGTTCAGTTATCTCTATAGATACTGTAGCATATATCTTAAACAGTTCTGCAGATTTATTACACCAAAGTAAGACATGGAGTTCCTACCTCCATGGTAAGACTAACCCATTTTCGCAAAGCCCTAATGCTGGGACTCATCAGGAATCTAACAAAAGGAAGATTTAAGCTTGTATACAAGTACTGTATGTGACACCAAAGCACAGGTGCCAGTCTTGTCAATAGTGTTACCTTATCAATTATAAGTTTCTTCAACATCCCAAAACATTGTATACATGTACATGTGAATAAGCGTGCTTGATGAAGTTTGTAACAATAGAGCTGTTCTAGATTTGAGAAAGTAGGTATTCTTTTTTATGGTCAAAACTGGATGAATCTAAACCCACCTGCCAGTTTGAGATAAAACGGACACTAATATGTAAGAACAGAAAGCAACCTTTGGTTCCATTCCAATAAACAGCCAGGTAATTCACGTGAAGAACAGGTTGTCTAGGACTCAAGTCATGCAACAACTGTAAAAATACTTTATTGGTCCCAATTACCGTGTTCTGTGCCATATTTGTAAGGTATGTCTCTTCAAAAGAGAGCTGAATAGGTCTATCTTCCTGCTGTTTCAGTAACCACTGCACACAAAAGCAGCTCGAGCAAAGGTCATTGCTACATGCAAGGTCTGTCCAAGCCAGCATGTTAGAACTGCAACATGATATGAGGGTAGATTTTTAGCCCCCAAGGTATATGCCAGTGATGATTACATAATCAAACTCAACGATCTGTGTAACCATGGTGTAATTAAATCATGCTGCAGAAAACATGGTGGTAAAGGCTGCCTTCTTTGATGACTACATCAAAGCAATTTGCAGTTCATCGATATTCATAGACAACATGCAGACAAGGAATTTTGGAAGTGATTCCAATCCAACAATTCCACACCTCACCACCTAACTCATGATAATTTCCCCTTATAACATGTACAAAACCACTAGGTAAGCTCTTCAACAACAAACGCTTGATCTGACTATTAGGCATGAACCACGGCCTATCACCAGGGAATGTACAGCACTGGTGGCGAAACTGGGAGGGGGGAGGGGATATTGCCCCTCCCACCTTTGACAACGTAGTTATTTTTCCCCCCTACCACTCTGTGGGCCTACCAGCCACTGGAGGTACATGTACATTGCAACTTCATAATTGTATTCTTTTCAGTCTAATGGCTGGGGCTTGCCTCCCCTCCCACACTTTTAAAACTGTTCTGCCACTGTTGATGTACGAAGGTCAACATTATGCATCCCTCTACTGGCTACTAGGAGTTGACACGCTAATGTAGTTCCACTTGCTTTTCCTTGGGTTAAAGGAAGTTCGTCAGCTTCCAATGTCTTGAAAGGTCGAAATCAATTATCCACCCAAACTAAAGCACGTTCAATATTTGTTTTAGAGTATGCTCAGTTGCCATTAATATTTCAGGAGCAAAGGAAAGGCAACAGCATGTTCATGTGTAATGTGCAAAGAATATAGCCAGGGCTATGCTCATGCAATCATGTGTACTTCAACCATGTGGCACTTCTATGAACTGTTTCCTGGAACAGTTCAGTGCTGGTGCGTATTAGACTTATGCACTTATGCATGTGCATTTAATATAATTGTATATGTACGTTACATGTATACACTGATTTGTGTGTTGTATCTTGTTTCAAAGAAGTTTCCACAGAAAGAGTACAAAAGAAACCCAATCATCAGGAAAGGGGAAAGGACTAGTTAAATACATTTTTTCATTCACTCAAGGGCCCTGAATTTTCAGTGTCGTATTGAAGTCCTTTTTTGGTGCCCAAGTGTACTGAATTTAATCATGCTGTCCTCATCCCACCAGAGGGTTTCTGGGTTAGGAGGAGGCTCTATTGAAACTGGGAAAAAGCATTGCCTGTATGGCTTGTCTGTTTGCATTGTTATCTTATGTTATAGAGCTTAACATACAGTTGGTTTAATCCTTTGTAAATTTTAGGTGATGGGATGCCACAAGGTCACCTATTGGGTTTGTACATGTACATGTAGTTGTCCATTTTTCTCCATTTTTTCCGGAATAATTCTTTATGGCTTTTCTCCCAGACGGTCTAACAAATAAACCTAAACTTAATAAAAACATCAACCAGGAGTAAAAATTAAAAGATTTTTTTTTTCAAAGTTACAGTCCAACTTTTTGAACCGAATGATTGCAGTAGCACAACCACATTCAGATTATGAGATGTGGAAGAACAAACATGTATTGTGGGCAACACTACTGACTGTAAGCAAAGGTCATGCAACCCCATCACCTCGACCTCCGGGGTAACTGGTAATGAAATGATAAGACATTGTAACTCAAGAATAGTAGTGATGAGTGTGTTACGGAGTTAATGTACAACATGACATGACCTTAAAGGTGCACTCTTCAAAGGCCATTACCAACATCGCTACATATACACGTATGTATGATCAAATGTACTTTTATATATTTTTGTAATCTGGAAGACAAAACCCTAGGCAACAGTCTGGTTTTTAAACATGTTACATGAGCTTCACTTCCAGCATGTCCAGGGTTCGCAGTCCCAAAAAACAGAAGCGTTTGTCTAAAGGCAGCGAAATTACTACAATCTTTGGAGAGACACGGGTGCTGTATGCCAAACCCAAAGCAAGAGATAATGATCTCATCTTTTTAAACATGACTCCTTCCACATAAAAGTACACATACAAGAACATTTATTGTTTAAAATTGCAAGGTTGTGGCAGTACATTTATTGATGTTGACCACAAACAGTTCTTGTACATGAACAACACCAAAATCGTAAGTTTGAAAATGGAATTTTAAACATGTATGTCGAGAAATTGTTTGTCACAGATTTTGTGCATCCCACATCTCTGAGTCATTTTAGCGGGAGACTTTGAGACGCCGGTGGCAGCAGACATACCAGTCCTTTTTCAAAGTATTGCGCATGCTCAGAACTATGCATGTATGCTCAAAACGACGCGCACATGCTCAAAACTGTGCATGTATGCTCAAAACGATGTGCACATGCTCAAAACTGTGCATGTATGCTCAAAACGATGTGCACATGCTCAAAACTGTGCATGTGTGCTCAAAACAACCGCACATGCTCAGAACTGTGCACGCATGCTCAAAACAACGCGCACATACTCAGACCTGGTGGAAGGACTAATATGTTTTACGCCACCAAGCGTCTCAAAGTCCGCCATTCACTGTCAGTGTCTACTGTCACAGAAGCCTGCAGTTCCAGTGGATGAGTGTGCGCTAAAAGCTCCTTAGGAGTACATGTACATGGCGTAAATAAAGTGAATGTACACATACAGTACATGTCCATACACCGTACATGTACCAAAACTTGGGGAGAATGGAATTTTACAATCATGACATATAAATACACTGTAGTTTGATCCAGAAGGCATGTAAACTCTGGAATGCAAGTACACTGTATGTAAGCAAACAGAGAGTCATTACACCACAATGCAGGATTTTAATGTATTATGGGCAACGCTTCATGAAGTAAGAGCAATGTTTGGTAATGTTTGCTTTCTTTTGCACATCATTGTCATAGCAGTTGTCAGTATTCAGGCCGTTAGAAACTACCCACATGCACATGTACATAAGGTGCTTTCACATGAATTTATAACATACATGTGGCCATTTTGTTGATCTAGTGTTTATGTATAAAAATACACTACCTGCGGATAGGCTAGCCAGGTCAAGTGGTTTTCTGATTTTCATATTATCACCAAAATTAGTGGGCGAGTACCTGAAGCGCTGAAAATGCTAATTAATGAAATGGCGTCATGATGACATCATAATGCCATTTGGAGTACCAAAATGTATACCGGTACATCACACACACAATGATGTGTGTAAAATGCATTAGTGTGAGAACCAGCTCGTTAACCAACATGCGCACAGTCCATCTGTTTGCATTACGCTTCCTGGTTTCAAATGACGTGACGCTTTGGTACTCTTACAGCTCCATGATAACACGATCAAGGAGCTGACTTAAAATGCTCCACTGACATTTTCTGGAAGACTATTTGTTGACTATCTAGCTTCTCAAGCTAATTCAATATATTTTCTACTGCTATAAAAGTTTCGAGGTGCAAATGCCATTTGCTAATCTCTTCTTTGCGCAACCGCATTAATTCCCACAGCATTAACTTCCCCTTTGGTACATTTGCCAACCTCAGGAAAGGATTAATAAACAACATTGTAGTCACCATCATCTTCTGGTTCAATCTGGAAATACTTACCAGCTGACTGAAATCATAAGCCCAGGGCAGAAACATGATGCCAGTTAGATACTTCTCCCAATGTGAGATGTAAAACGTTGTGCATATCACACACACAAGGGCATACAGCATCCAGACATTGGCACCATAGTCCTCCTCGCCTCGTCCAAACACCGAGAACACACACAAAGGGAGGAGGCAGGATATGACACTGTCACTGCCGTGATCGAAGAGCTCACCCAGGGGGGTGCTGGACTTGGTTCGTCTTGCCTGCTTCCCATCAATACCATCTGCGGATATATATATATATGAAATAGCATGTGCATGTAATTTATAGCTAAAGTCTGCTCTGAGCCAACATGGAACTCATTAGGCCAGTGTAAGTCATCAGTTTTCATGGCATGGGAATCTGTCTATTTCCCCTGAATGAGAAGCCAGTCCACTGCAGGCTGCTCATCAGCTCATGCTGAAAGCAATTTATACTCCAAGGATCATGGATCATGAAGGCAAGTATGAAGTAGCTTACCGAAGGTCACAATGACAACCTACGAATATGGCCAGCAGCTGGATTTGAACCTGTGACCCTCAGATCATGAAACTTCAAGATGTGAATAAGTTCAAATAAAATGCTGTGAAGAAAAGTTCATGTACAGAACTGGCTGACTCCTCGTTGTGACTGTCCAGTCAAAGGCAGTTTAAACCTCTTGTAAAGCCAATTTTTCAAATATTTGTATGCCTTTTCTAAAACACTTTGCAGATTCAAGGAACAATTTACAATACATATTTGAAACTTTTCCTTTCAATTTGAATCATTTCACAGAAACTAGTCCAGCAGTTTTGACAAAAGGAAACTTCAAAGATACAGTGTACAGGTGGTGTTATATTGCTTGCATATGGTATTTGTTACATAAAGGTAAAACTTGCTCAATCTACACGTTCGTCATTTTTTGTACGAAAATATCTCTGAAGACTTGAATGTCAACCTGTTTTCAACATTCTGCAGATTCTTCCGCAAGCTATTATTTTCCTTAGTTTTTAAGGCCTGTACAAACCTTGAACAAATACACAGACTTTAGTTAGGAAAGAGGGCCTTTACTGGCACCTGACAACTACCGAGTGTGTGCGCTACCAGCAGCCCAGCTCCAGCCAATAGGAAGACCAGGTTGGGTATAGGTGGGTACTGCGGATGTTGACGGCTAGCAGCATAGTACGACCAGTCAGTGATGGACAGCATGATGAAGCTCAGGGAAATAATCAAAAAGCCCAAGAAGGTCATCAGGTTGGGTGCAAACCACTCCGGAAAAATCTGATTGAGAAACGACACGTGACGGGTTAATCTTGGAAACGATCTTCGGAAAATGTCAAAAGAATGAACAATTCTTAAGCTGAGCGTCACATTTTCCAACTTGGGGGACTACATGCATGTATGTATGTTGGATAGCATGATGAAAGCACTTCGCCTCTGTGACCTGTGATGCAGGTTGCAGTTGGTACCCTTCCCCCACTGGATACCATGCAGTGTAAATACATGCACTTACCCTACAAATGACAAAACCAGCTACATGTAAGCAACACAAACAGTATAATGCTGTAGATTTGCACTGAATGAAATCACAGACATGTAGATTAAAATATGCTTCTACTTAAAATCTGTATGTACAGTACACTGCTATGAAAATGAACACTTTGAATGGAAATGGGAAACATTGTGAAAAGAATTGAAAATGTTTCCTGCTTGTGTGGAAAGGAGTAGAAATGTTTGTCCAAGCCAATATGTAATGTACACGTATACATCAAAATATGTAATGCATACCTTAACAACAGCATTCCAGAAGGGATGCATAATGTAAATAGACAGGGGTGACGTATCCACGGCATTGTACTGCATTTTGAAGGAAAGAAAAGAAATTGCAGGTATACAAATTTAAGTTTGTCGGCAACAAAACACCACACCAACTGTATGGGTGAATTTGAGAGATGACCATGCAGGGATTTAACCACAGTTCAAACATCATCTGACCAAGGGTTGGATTGGACCATCTAGGTGACCCTCTGGAACTAGGCCCTGGGGTCTGTTCACACCCCTGGTCATCAATAGCAGCTTAAATTTATCAGAAGAGAGGGAATCATTTACAGAAGCAGGTTTCCCACTATGCTGTTACCATGGTAATCTCAGGGTAGCATAAAATGTAACCCTGATATTACCCGGGTAATTTGGAGTTTTCACACTGCATTTCTCAGCGCTGAAAATTCTCTGGGTAACTGCCTCAAAATGTGACTTAACCCAGACTCTGGAGGTGGACTAACCCACCAATCTCAGGGTATATCTGTGGCCTAAAGAAAATTCTCCGGGTTACCTTCAATAGTGTGGATGCTCCTATGTTTTCTTCAACCCTGGGCTGTTCATTGAGTTGACCTGTTCATTGAGTTTGAACAGCACAGCCACCCAGCCTTGCACATGCGTGAAAGGTTGATGTTTACATGATTTTCATGTTTTTAATACAAGACACCAATCCATCAAAGCCAGTTGATTTTCTGCAGGCTAACTGCAAGGCACAAGTCTTGACCACATGCTGCATGCCTGAACACGCTTGGAAATTGCCATTTGCTTGAAATTTTGATTTACGCACTAGACATACATGTACTCGTAGACATGACATCTGTTTTAACAATGGCAAAATACATAACTAGCACATGTAGGCTGAATCTAAATCTTACAATTAATTCAGAAATAGTGAAATTGTTCACTGCCAGTGGCATGTTAGAGGTAAATCAATGCATGTATTCTCTGGGTTGCCTTTCTTGTAGTGTGAGCATGGTTACAAGTTACCCAGGTACACATTAAAGTAGGTAGCTATTAAATTGCAGGGTGAATTCTGTAGTGAAACTAATAAGAGGGTACCAGGTATGAACAGTTCCAGACTAGTGTGACAATTGCTGCGGAAATGAGTAATTCCAGAAATTGGGGGTCCAAACGTGTGACATTTTCGTGTCCCTGTTACATTTGACCTTTTTCATTTGACATGGAAAAATTAAAATTATTACTATTTGTTTGGCAGGCAGGCATTAATTTAAAACTCTCGGGAATTAAAAAATGTGTTCCGAACTTGCAAAATCATGTATCTGATGTGACAGGGACAAGAAAAAAATTGACTCTTGATTTCTGGTATTACTCAAATAATTGTTTGAGATGCCATTTACCATGAACACTGTGAGAGTTAGAGATATTTGAGTATACTATAAATACTTCGCATGTGCAGTGTTGAAAAGAAACAACTGACAGAAAGGTTGCACATCCTGTGCACAAACCCTATGAGACTGGTATTTACAATTACTAAGCAAATACTTCAATATTTTCCCTACTAGTGCTAAATTCGACAGTTTAAGGCATGTTATCACTTTCTGGTGGCCTATAACTACTGCAAGGGAATATAAGTGATGTCCATAAACAGAACTCTCATGCCACTGCATCATCCAGGCACTTAAGAACATCTTATGGCCCATGGATTTTTGCAAGACAAAGTACACGAGCTGCATTTTCAGGAGGTCCGTATTTCAAATAAAAAGCATTTTTCTTGATTTTTCTCAAAGCAGGGAACTAAAAATGAAACACATATGAAAAATGAGGAATGATAAACATATCCCCTGAACTGTGGTGTCCGACGTCCACCCCGCTCCCATGAGCAGGGCTGGCATCAGGACCCCAGTTCTGGGGGTATAATGAACATAGATATTACATAACCCCCCAAATCAGCAAGTTTTGAAAATAGCAGTTGACCAACATGTTATGCTCCAACTCAAAAACATGAAATTTCAATTTTAATCCCCTTTGCCTTATCCACAATGTTCAGGGAGAAACTTGACTGCTGAATGAAACAATGAATAATGTAACATTATGTTGATGAAGAAAGCCTCCTGTTATCTGGATATTTCTGGGCATTGGGCCTAGGGATATTACAATCTTAGTTCGCATGCCCAAAAGTCAGGCCATGGTCACCAGGTCACTCCTCTCCTCCCTAGCATGCCTTCCCCTTGGCTGGTACTAGGGGCCTTGTACAACCATGGAAGAAGGAAACTCCTTCCTCCATGGTACAACATGATCAATTTTATTTTTAAGATCAAAACTTTTTAAGATTAAGATGTTTTTTTAAGATTAATATTCAGATATTTTCCCACTCAATTCATCATGTAAATACCAACACAATCACGAAAATAAAGCTGAAATCATCGATCATCCTGATCATTGTGGGAAGATTGGGCTGGGGGGCACTGACGTAACGGGTAATACGAGCAGCCGCCCATCCAGCGTACAATCCATCCACGCCCGGCATATGAACGTGGTCTTCTTCTGGTCTAACGATTCATCATTCATTACAGGCCTTTGCAAATATCTCACATTATAAAGCTCCATAATTCTTTACCTTGTACTTATCAAATCCTCGAAGGTGCTTTTCGCTTAGATATATGGACGCCATTTATAACAAATGCGATACTGCGGCAAGTCGCGTAGCCGGGCCCTAGCAAAATGGATCAGGCCATGCGCTCCTGTACCGGCACCGTACCCCCCCGGCCAAGCTTAACGCGGAACGCGTGCAATCGCGATGTGCGTGCATATCGCGTGCAACCACACAGGCCCAGGGCCCAACTGTGCCATTTGCCGTATTTGTAATTGGGCTTGTTCGCAATTAGATCAAATTGCAGTTTTTGGAAAACTTCGACCAAAGTTGCCCTAAAGGTTGCAGGCAGGCCAGTCAATAGGTCCAGAATTGCCTGTGCGGACCGAATCACCATTTGTAGGCTGTCAAATTCTCTGCTATGAGAGCATTTCGTGACACGTGGACTGGGTGGTTTGTTAAAAGGGTGGATGAAATGCAGGGGCAGGACTAGCAGCTTGTATTTCTGAAAGTATCGTTATCTTCAGTAACTTCTCAGTTTTTAACACCACTTTTGTGAAAATCGTGCGGTGCCCGTTTTTCCAAGACAGATCAGCCAAACTAAAGGTGCTCATTGCTGACCGGTTGAACTCCAATTGACCGTAACATCAATACTACCTCCATGCTATAACTTAGTTGGATTGAGTTGAAACTAGTAGGATATGTAGAGACAATGAGTATTTCTGCATGTCCTCAAATGGTACATTTACGTGTACTGTACATGATGCAGCCGCAGCACAGCGGCGTGTCCAGCTTTTGTGTGCGGGGGGGGGGGTCAAAGGCGAATGCGGCTCCGGGGCTTATTCAACACGGCGTTGGGGTAGAAGAAAGTATCAGAAGCCGTACTCTCGTCCTGACACCCTTGGTTTTATTTCGTGGTGTTGTTTTCTTAGGGTTTTGGTGCTAATGCTTGATAAATAAAATAATATTATTAATTTTTTTTAATACGTGGGGGAGTCCCACCCCCGCTGGATACACCATTATCTATATCTCTTTGGGAGTGTAATATGTGTGTGTGTGTTTTTTTAATTTGGGGGGGGGGTTAACGGTTGAATGTTCCGAACAGTACGCTCTGCCCGTCGTCAGGAGACTGTAGGGATTTGTGTCTGGAGGCGATGAGGCCGCGGAGAAGATGCTAATAACTCATCAGGATCCACCTCAGGATCAAACTCAAGGGTACTCAAGCAGAACATGGGATACTAGATGATCAGTGCGGACTCATTTCTCCATGTCAGCCATGGTTTTAAATCGGGCATGGGACACTACAGCCGAATTCTGTGGAGACGAAGCAGAATCCCCCTGCTGTGAGATGGTCCAAACGGTACCCCGCTCTTTTCTAGCTCAACTGGAGTTCTAAAATATTTAACACGTGTCCAATCGCTAGATTCATCACAAAATAAAATTATTACCCCTTGTGATATAGTCGAGGCTCAAAAATGGCTGTTTCTAAAGAAATCAGCATGGAAAATTAAGTACATGTAGTTTCTTAATTGCGAGTCAAAAAAAGAATGATCCATGATTTTGTTCTTAATTTATCTCTTGGAGTATTCAGAGAATCTTGGTGGTCACGCATATTAACGGTTGATACAACATCGATTAATTTGTACATACCAGATTTAGTACACAGAGTTTATTTCACATATTTGTATGCCTTGAAATTTTAACAACTAAGGCCCTTGCTGGTTTGCGCAACGGAGCACGTTTCGGGGTGCACTCCACGAAATGGTTGTATTTCTCCGCTCAAGCACTTTAATATTTTGTGATCCCACGGGGTTTTTACAATAAGACATGCCATAATCAGGAGGCATCATAGAAATATTTCAATAAATCCCGATTTTGGGACTGATAGTTTCCAGTTCGGGATATTTCTTTCACAAAAATCCCCAAATGGCGGGCCTATTTTGGATAGAGGCGGGCGGCCGCTAGATTCAGAAATGAGCGCTTAGTTTTACTGCTGTTTGGGGGTATCTTCCTTGAAAGGCGAATAAAAAAGATTTTCGTGGCTAACCCCCATGAAATTGAAACGAAAAAGGATCTTTTGGCCATAATCTTGAATTTCCAGTTGAAAAAACGGAGGCCAACCTCTTCACGAGAGTCAACAGGCGGCGCTATTTCGGTCCGATTTTGCACTGTTTTCTATGGGCGCGTATTTGGTGTAGTGCAACCTTCGTTTTGTAGTAACCAGCAGCCGAACTCAGAACGTGACCCAAACTAAAATTCTAAGTAGCCCAACTACGTTACGGACCCAATTATTAAACTTGTACAAGTCTGATTCCCGGTCCCACCTGTAATACTTGACGTGGAATATTTTGTGTCGGCAGGAACCAGTCTTAACCCGCGAACCCGCGCGCTTTTACAGGAACGATTTTCATCGGATAGATCGTGTTACACAAAACGTGATCGCAGGAGCACACTAAATATCAGCTGCTAACTACATGTTTTATCAACAATGCACATTTAACCGCGCCAAATTTTAGCAACTTCCACAAGCTGACTTCGCCACTTCACAGGTATTTTGGTACACCAGCTTGAAAAATCGGCACTGTCGAGCAAGATGTACGTAAACCAGTTAACACCCTTTTTGCAAAATGTAGAATTAGATTAGATATAATTCATACATTCATGAGCAAATGTACGCAGTCATCAGTGTAACAACCAACCAAAAAATTTGTTGCGTGTTTTGGAGTTGAATTCAGGCTTAATCACATGAATTATGGTCATGTAGGTACATCCATGTGATGTATCCCTAATCATGCTAGGCCAAGTAATAATGGCAGTGCCTTGATGCGGTTAACTAAATGGGTAACTGGGTCAAGTTACATTTTACGTCATGTCATCTACTTCCTGGCCGTCCCATATTCTTGTCATGCAACATGTCTTTTCAGCACCTTTGACATGACTGAATTTAGGCCTAATGTTAGGCCTACCATAGCCAGCTGCTAGCTCCAGACTGGGGCAGTTGGTATCACCGTCTCTAACGCTGTCTGGTTCCTAGACCAAACAGATCCCGACTGTGTTTGGCTTTGGTCAACGATCGGGAGTTAATTGGTATAGTAAACGAATGACCCAAATTGAAACCAAACTTTCATCGACTTCTACAAACTGGAAATCACCCGTGTTGATACATTGTTGGTTTGATGGAATGAGTGATCCCTACATGCTGACACACAAAAGGGGTTTCATAGAAGGCATTTTTGCGGAGTCTCCACTTTTTGGATTGACCGTTGTGGGGCTAAGGATATGGAGGTAGTCCAGTAGACTTGCCCCTAATCTGGGGCCAGCCTACTTCCTGAACAGTAAGGCACTACTCTGTACACACCACAATGCATCCATCTTTTTGATGGTTCGGTACACTATGGCATTTTGAAAAGTGCTCTGTCGAGGTCAGGAAATTGTACTGGATAAAACATCTGTTTGCGCTTTCTGAAGCAATCTACCCCTTAAGACTGTTTTCGCTGGAATTTGAAAAGTGGGACTCGGAGTGCAAAATGAAAAGCAGGGAGTGCAATCTTGTTAGAGTCCAACATTTGTTTGCGAAGTACGCAACACGAGCGCACAGCGCAAGGTCCGTTATGGCTGGGATCCAGAGCCTGCTTAAGGGCCCTGGAAGCTCTACCTATTTCAGATGCTTTCTGGTGGTCTCTGATGTATTTCTGACATTTCTTCCTGAGAGTTTTACCTTTTCGAACAAAAACCCCAGCTTCTAGAAAAAATAAACTGTAAAACTGTGCGCAATTGTTGTTTTCGTGTGATTAAACAACCCTGCAACAAAGAAGCGAATAATGACAAACACCTTTGAACAGATTTCTCAAAACCACTTTATTTTGTTGTAAAAAAAAATGGTATGCAGGTAATGCAGGTCAGTACTTACACGTTATTGTACCTTTTTGTTTGCAGTACAATACACGTACGTTTAGATTATTATGTAATAAGCAAACAAAAATAAATGATATAAAATGAATCCCAGTATTCCTACATACACACACATGTACATGTTTCCTTTGGCAGTTTGGCTAAGAACAAACAAATTGAGTTCAAGACTTGACTTCAATGTAGATGAAAAAATACATGTCACACATATGCATAGTGTGTGTACATGCACACTGTCCAAGCACCCACGTACACCATAGGCAGGCCACAAGTCTGAATGAGTCTGAACATGGCATCTGGAGAGTTCAACAATTTTTTCCATTTAGGTAGAAGAACCTAAACAAGCTTTATGCTGATTATTGACAATAACAAAGATTACGTGTAGGTCAGCCCTTGCTTTCAAGAAGAAATCCATTATTTTGTTTTCATTCTGGATGATAGAGTGAGCATGCAGCGCAAGCCCTGAAACGGTTATATGTCAACCTCATCCTCATGGACTACCTCATGAGTTGTAGAGTCCGAGTTACTCAGACTACCACAGTACCAGTAGGCTAACTAATCAAATAAGTGGAGGCAGGATGCATCATTGACCTGTTTCTGTCCATTGACCAGTCACGGAACACACCAGGGAAAATTTTCTATCATTGGGCTCTGCCAGGGCTTGAAAAAAATCCACTGCCCATAACTTATAAGACATACTCATGCCTAATGCAAAGTTGGATTAGGCCTGGGCCTGCTTGGAGGACTATATCTTTTATCTACCTGTTCATTTATCAGATGCTGGGTGTCCAAAGTGCTTCCGACCAATGTACTATGACGTCTCTCAATAATGCCAGAACATCTCGTAAAAGAACACTTCATGTTTCTGACGTACTGGCGGGATCATCCCCAGGTGTGTCTCCAAGGTAACTTAATCGTTTGCCCCAGAGATAATTTGTTCATTATTATGCACATTCATGTACTTTTACAGTTGTGGCAAAAGGTTTACATATACTTTGTAGAAAAAAGTTTTCCCTCAATATTTTGCTATTTGAAATAGGTTTGTCAACTTTTTTATGAGGTCAGACAAATTGTATCTCTACTTAATGTTCACAGTGTGTACTTCAATTGAATATGACATTTATTATGGTTTAAAATATTATTTCTGAAAATTATCTTATGAAATTTACATTTTCCCCCTTTTTTCGTTCAAAAACGCTTCAGAAAGTGGTCCACTACGACTATGAGATGTGACAAAAAATGCAGAAAGTGGCACTTAATATTAGGGTTGGAGTATGTAAAATTGTTAGTTTTTTTATAAATATAAATATGAATCATACATGTACATGTCTGGGTGTTTTTATTTGATGCATACGCCATGTACATTAAGTAGAGACCTATGTTGTCTGTCCTCATGAAAAGAAAAGTTGGTAGGAATGGGTGAAGTTGTGAAATTTGAGGAAAACTGTTTTTGTTCTACCAGGTGTATGTAAACATTTTGCCCCAACTGTAAAGAAAAGTTGGTAGGAATGGGTGAAGTTGTGAAATTTGAGGAAAACTGTTTTTGTTCTACCAGGTGTATGTAAACATTTTGCCCCAACTCTACGCGTACTTGTACGCCTCTAAAAGGGAAATTTTACTTTTACAAAGTGGTTTTTTAGTAATTGAATAAAAAAATTGGATCTTAAAGATCAAAACATTGATCAGTTACGTCAAGCAACTGAATAATAATTTTGTGCATATAATCACCGGCTTTCACATTAATCTTACAAAATGTAAATTCATTGTTTTTTTGTTTAGGAAAAGATTGCGATCTGCTGAAACTAGCTTAGAGGCAGATATCCCACCAGCTTTCTCTGCTAAGTGTTTTTACAGCCCAAAAGGACTTGGACAATACCAGACGCCACTGGAAAGACAGAGGAGGCGAGCAGAGCTTGGAGAAACCCTTCTCTCCAAACCACCTGCAGAAACGGAGAAGAGTATCAAGAAGACCAGAAAGATTCCAACCTACACAGCAGTTCATGTTAGCAACAAAGGCATCCATCGTCGACCTAAGCAAACAAGCAACACAGTGCAGAAAACAAAGGCAAAACCTGCCAAGTCCACAGAGAAGGCAGCCGAAAGAAGGGAGAAATTGCCATCAAGAAATCGGAAAGAGTCATCAACATCAGACAAGTCATCTCCAAGCAAGAAACAAAGGAACAGATCCCCTAAAAAAAGATCTCCCGGCAAAAGGACGCCTAGGAAAAGTCCAAGAAAAGGGGTCAAGAAGGCGGTCAAACTCTACATCCAAGGGATGAAGAACAATCGCAAGGCTGCTAAAAAACTGACCACTAATAGCACACAGCAAACTACCGGAGCAAATAGGGGTAATCACGAAGGCAGCAGTCTTGCAGTAGACACTGAGGAAGAACAGCCCGCAATGCAAAAAGGAGCCTCAAAGAAATTAGATATTCAGTTTGTGGACGATGCCGAAAATACAAGAACGGAAAGAATGATAGGCACAGATGAAGATGTCAAACCGTCACCGAGATCGGTAGGGAAGAAACGCAGCATGAGGTTGAAGGAGGAGAGTGAGTGTCTCACGCCTGAAGAGGGCATCCAACCATCACCACGAAAGTCTTCCAGATCCTCCCTCAACAATGCATCTCAAGATGAGACCACGAAGGATGACAAGAAGTCAGAGGATCGATACAACTTCCTTGAAGGATTTGAACCGGAAACGCCTGAATCAGTGGCATCTCAGTTGGCAAAGAAAGGTGGGTTGTCTCTCTGTCTTTAGATTTTATGGAATTTCTGATACAATTCTCTAGGTGTTCTTGTTTTGTTGGTCACTCAGTATGCCAACTCCAACTTTGATCTTACATGTTTGAGAAGCTCATGAAGTTCAAGTATTGGTGGATACATGAAGGGCTAGTACTAGCAGGTCTAATCAACCTGTTGGTGTTTATCATTCAATCATACGTTGCAGATATCCATGGATTCGAAAAAAAATGCAGTCTTCCTGCCTTCACATGTTCGCTGACAGCCAGTCATTTATATTGTAATATTCATGTATGTCAACACTTTACTTGCGATGATCAATCAGTGTTTTGGGAAAAATTATGCTGGCAGGTTGCCAAATGAAAATGGATGTTGCTTTGGAGAATAGAAAGAAATGCTAATTCTGAGTGACATTAAATCACCCCTTCACTCCTGTTTTATTAGAAGGTCTACGTTTGGCAGTTTTTTGAGACATACTTTTTTCAGGGGTGAGATTTGTCAGAATTTTCCTGCTTTTAGGATTTTTTGGGTCAGGTTTTTCATTATTTCAGGATTTTTCCAAACAGTCTCTTTCAAAATCTGGAAAACCATGGTTTACCATTATGGTGTTTGTACATATAAAAGTTAACACAGTTGACACAAGAAAAAGGTATTTTAAGGGAGGGCTTTATATCACAGGCCCTGACTATTTTGTGTACATTCCATTTTCCTACAGTCTCACCCCTGTATTTTGCTTCTGTTTTTCTTCAATACATGGAAATGGTTTGATGTATCGCTTTCAGTTAACTGTTTTGAAAAGTAAATTTTTGAAACATATTTCACATTATCCATGCTTTATAGCAGGCATTGTTACTGTATCGTCGATGAGGGAAGCTGCTGTTGAGTTCACAGGTTTTTCTGTTTGAAAGTGTACTCCTAACATGATGTGATCATCAAAAACATTTCTCAAAAAGGATTACTCGTAAGCTTATCCGCTCCGAGCGGAACAAAAGATAGCGTTTTTTATGGTATTCACTGCAGAGGCGTGTATTTATAATGGAGATCATTGGTGCATTTGACATAGAGCACACTCAACATGCGTAACAAATTTATTCCTGAATGTCTTGGCGTACACGCATAACGTGTGCAAGAACCCGCTTAGAAAACTTACAACCATCTGTCTTTCTTTTGCTGCTTGGGGTGCACTTCAACTCTTGAACAACTATGAATCACCAAATAAAAGGAAAGTTATAACAATAAATACTAAAAAAATCCAGCGGTTTTTTTGCACAAAACGATGCAACGTTCAGGTTTTGTCCCTGGATTGACATCGCAGTTTTGCTTATGAATATGGAAATTTTGCGTTTAAAACCCCAAATGGTACCAAAACATGTGTATCTTTAAATATAGCAAAACAAGAAATTGAAAATAACGTTAAGTTAAAGACAAACATACATTTGTAATGTTTGTAGTAAGAATGTAATCTCGCAGACATCCTTTAAGTGGTACACACGTTCATGTGTTCATACACATTCAGCTAAATTATCTAGTATTTAAAGTTGTTGGAGGGACCTCAACACACTGTCTCAGTTTTGTTCACTAAAATGTGGAACATTATGGTAATGAGGAGCAATGTGTTTATCGTCAAGTCACTGAACTTAGTTTTTATGTATTTTAAAAATTTGAAGATTTACATACCAACAATGGCTGTCACTAGCATAAATCTTGTCTCCTGTACCATTGCTATTCAGTATGACTTTTTTACTGCAACTTTTAAGTGAGAGTTAGGCCGTTTTCCAATATTCAACTTTGTCTCCGTCTCAGGCTTCGTCCCCAAAACCAATCCCTGATTGTGGGCCTGAAGGGTTTAAATCAAATTGGATTACTGTAAGTTTTGGCTCGCTTGCATCTTATTTGATGTTTTGTGGCACTATTAGACTAATTAGTGTGCTTACAGCTTCAAAGTCAGGTAGTAAAAAACAGTTGAAGCCTGAGACGGAGCCGAAGTTGAGTATTGGAAAACTACCTTAGAAACTCTCAGGTATTTGAAGTTCATTATAAATATTAGAACATCAGTACCAGACTAAGACAAGTTAGGCTACAGTGTATACACCTGTTTGCTTGATTCATACAGTATCCCCCAGGAAGACTGCGGTCATCCTCCCCGTCTTCATGACCCCACCAATCAGTCCATCAACCAACAAGACACTGGGATCTAGCTCACTCAGTCCTGCGACCTCAACACCAATACAGCAGAGGAAGCTGAACATCATGAAGAAGATGGCTGATAACGATGGGATGGAACAGATGACCATGGTAATATTTGCCTTGGTCAAGGCGTTTGTCATTTGTCGCAGCATAGATCTATTTCAGTACATACAAGAACTAAAAACCTTGGGTAACATTTTGTAAAAAAAACACCTAAAAGTGAAAATCCACTCTTCGTGAAGATATTTGGAGATTGCCTGCCACTGAATATCATTAGTATGATTTGGTTTAATTTGTTATCGAAAAAAAGATTTGGAATATAAACTAAGACTTCAGGTGTTTCTAGCTACTACATGTACATGTAGCTTAGTTTTGTTCATTAATTGATTTCCTTTGTGATCAATTAATGACATGGGCTGCTTTGTGAAGATGTGAAGTTACTGTCAGAAAGCACCCAAGTATGGCCCAAAACTTCTGAATCCAACCTTTAAGGTAAAATCAGGCCTACTTATTTATAAAAGTGAATGACATCGCTTGTAAAATCTCAAGGTGGACTGTTTGGTATTCTTTTTCACCGTTTGTGAAATTTAGTGAAGAGTATTAGCCATCTTTCAACAAAACCACTCCTGAAAAGGCAGTGAATTATCTATTGAATTGAAATTAGCAGACTTTAGTAAGGAGAATCTGAATTGTTCCATTGCAGGACTTGGGGCAGAAGCGGTTTGGTGCAACATCATGTGAAATGTGTGGCATGGTATACACTGCGGCCCACCCTGAGGATGAAGCTAGTCATGACAAATTCCATCGCAAATACCTTAACTCTATCAAATTTCCAGTAAGTGCCCAGTAGCATTTCTTAGGAGCAGCGTTTCTTTGTTAATAACTCTGGAACCCGCTGGAAGCAGTAAGGGGAACAGAGTTACCAATAAGGGGACAGAAGAGATTTAAAGGTGGTGTACACCATTTGTAAAGGCCCCAAACTTGGACTGCAATGATATAGTCCCAAAATACCTTACTTGAAAGAAAGAAAGTACATAACAGCCTCGGTCAGTCTGTAAAATATTTCTGTCCAAAATGCTGTAGTTATCAAGAAAACAGACATTTTGTTCTCCTTTTACAGCTGACCATTGCTTAAGAGTTCATTTCACTTCGCACATCACATTGTCAACAGGTGCCAATTTTTGTGCATAGTGTTTGCAGATGTTGTGGGGAGTCTCCCTTAATGAACGAGTAAAGCTAAAAGCAGCTTAAAAATATACCAACAGAAATCCACCAAACACATGGTGAGCTGAAGTGATAGGAAACTGAGTGTAATGTGTAAAGTAGAAAATAAATTGGATTAGTGTGAAGTTAAATTTTGTCTAAGGAAATTATTTTTTTTAATGTGAAAACTTTGCAAATGCAGAATCAATCAGTATAATGGTATCGTCTAAATATGGGGGTTGTTTCCGAGCTGCCTAGCGAAAGGATTTTTGTCAACAAAAAGTACAATCTCCACACGTTAAACCTCTGGTGTTTCAAGAAATATGTTTTCCTCTGTGCTCATAATTATTACATTATAGGTAGTCAACTAAGAATGGAGTTTTTCGACTTTTATTGACGTGTATGTGCATTACATACATGTTCAGTATCATGCACAAAGTAAGATACATCAAATATACATGTATATGGGTCATTCCATGAAGTTGGGGAACACCTGGTTATTTACCTACGGTCTGAAGACTTTGGAGTAAACCACATGGCTACTCAAATAATAAGCCAGTTAAATTTACATCATAAAAAGAACACATACATAGGTATATTGTTGAACCATCAGGTTCATATTTGTGGAAACCTTTTTTGCAGCATGAAGCATGAAAAAGTGGTTTCCAATTATGCAAAAGCAATAATAGTTGTGAGAAACTTGACACTGACATAAGTGGATTTGAAATATCAGCTCCTCTATCACACTTGGTTATCTGACTTCATGGAATGACCCATACGCATATATAATATACATATATACATGTATAAAGCAGCAGAACATGCATGCCATTTACCATATTTACATATGTACATGTATACATGTACTGTATACATTTACAATAAACAAAATTCATGGATTTTTTGTTGTGGTCCACTCTGACGTCTGAGATAAATTACAAGATCTTAGATTTAGTCGTTGAAAGTGCTGCGCTGTTTTTCTCAATTTTTCATAAAGCAGTTGACTCAAACATGAAACAAGTGAGTGGAATGTAAGTTGCAGTGAATACTGTACAATGTAATCAGCCAATCTTGTGAAATAATGAAAAAAAAACACCAATGGTGTACACCACCTTTAGTAAACACATCAATCTTGTGGCTATGGAAATATAAGAAATATCTTCAAGAAATGTTACTGGTATATCACTAAGTCTTTACTGTCGAGAAAGTTTCAGAATTTAAAAACGATTTTAATTGCACTAACATTAATGACTTGAATATTCACATCTTGATTTTTGTGGCATGTTTCCATTATCATTTGGTGAAACAAAGGTGAAATATTAGAGGTGAAAGCTGGTGCCCTTACATAGATGTAAAGAAGTAGTCAATAGAGTAACAGCTGCATTAACTGGTAATCAAACCATTTGCTAAAGTTTCTTCTATGATAGTTTTACTTCCCTGCTTACTTTGTTCTCCGTATTTTTCAGGGATGGAAGAAGGAGAGACTGCTACAGGAATTTGATGATGGTCGGGTCATCATGGTTCTGCATGATGACCCCAAATACCACATTAAGAAGGTTGGTAGTATTGTGTCATCTGTATAGAGTGTGTTCCTTCAGGTTATTGCACTGCCTACAGTGGAAGTCACAGTCTAATTCATGTTCATTTATTTACCTCCAAGACCAGGGCATAATATGTCCTGTTGCATATTTACAGCATTGACCTCTGAGGACAGTAAACTGAATACCGAGGACAGGCAAACCCCTTGTATTCCTCTGTGGTAAAAAACAAGGACAGCACTACGTGTAAAATGTGTCATCCATGTACAGTTTGGCACTTAAGTTTGGTGGTGTTGTGGTTTGTGAAATAGATGTGCACTTCAAATTCCAAACTGTATGTGTGTGATTCCACGGCAGTAATAATTTCCATGGGAGCATGGAAAGCGGTTTAAATGCCTCAGACTTGTGATCGGGGGTCAGGGGTTTAAATCCAGCTGCTGGCCATATGTTGTGGCCTTGGGCAAGTCACCTAAGGATGTAAATGGGTACGGACATTAGCTGGGAAGTAAACCTCTTCCAGAGTGGAATAGAAGTGTTTCCAGTGACTTCACGCTTCTGAGACGGGGAGTAAATGCAGGCCTGATAGGTCACAGTGGCACATGGCAGACTTCAATAGCAAAAGTAACATCGGAGCTATATTTCCTGACTTTCTAAGATACACTTCCTGCTTGATTTAGGACATTCAAACAGGGCTTTGTAACTTCACATTATCATTTGTTTGGTTTGAGGCTTCTCGTGGATGATATCTTTCTGTAATTGTTTCTGTAGGTAGAGGAAATCAGGCAGCTGGTTGATCAAGAGCTTGGTTTCTTACAAGGAGGTGAGGTTGCTTGCAAGACGACCTCCAAGGTAGGCTTCAAGTGTTCATTTCTAGTCCTCACACTGTGATGGGCTTCATGGGTTGAATACTTCTCTTGTAGAGTATTGAATGAAGAAATTACTGTAATGATGTCATTGCATGCATTTGCAGTGTAGCACATTAAACTTGCGGAGGACTCAATGTTTACAAGTGTTTGGCTGCATGCTGTGGAAGTTGCTGTTGACACTGGATGTCATTGCAGGATAGAAGACCACGTGTCAATTTGTAGATGCTTGGTTACACATGTACTAAGCTTTAGGAATCATTCCACCTTGTACCAACCCTTGAACAAGTGTGTCTCTGACAAAGTGGCTGGGGGAAAAAAGAAATTTGAATGTGTAGAATAGTGTTTCTGAAGTCTTGTCTCGACTGGCTTTAAGTGCATGTATGTTAACGTCGTAGTTACATTTGAGACTACAACAATTGGAGAAAATTGTGTACAGTTTAATTTGCACTTTATGATACCTGAAATTTGAAAGCAGGTATTGTTTGAATAAAAGGAAGCCTTTATACTTGACAAATGGCCACTAGAATGCATGGCATTTTCTTAATGTTAGAATACGCCATTCATCGGGCTCAAATTTCGACTTCCTGGGGGCACTACAAGTTTGGCTTCAAGAAATTAGACATTTTACAGGGCACTGAGGCCAATAACGGGCAACAAGGCTAACATTTTTTTACAGAGGAAACACACTGAGGCCAACGTGTAAAATGTTCTGCAAAACGAGCTGAGAAAATGAAAAAACAGGAAATGGTGTTTTGTGTGTTTGATCTTATAACCCAGAAATCACTCCCAAAATTTCTTAGGACAAAACATCATATATAAGATGGAACAGTTCGAAAGCATTTCTTAGTTTAGAGAAAATTAATTTATACAAAAGAATTTCAGTGAATTTGTAAAAAGAAAATTTGTTTTGTTTAAATTGTGATGTGTCTTTTCTTTGACTGCACTCACGTAAAAATCAAATAGACATGGTGGTTGAGTCTTCTGCGCGCATGTGCATACACGATCAGAAACTGGGAAAATAGAGACAAAGTAGATCTAGCTGTAGCTCTGGAGGCCTGTTTTGGACATGTGCGGGCTAGACTGTCCGACTGCCTCACACCCAGGCCGCCAAATGTGCCTGAAGTGTTAAGATGATCGTCCACCGAACGTTGGGCTGTAGAATGAAATACATGTACATTTATTTATTTACTTATGCAAGCCTGTCAAGGTAATGGCGTGGTGCACCATGCTGGGTCTGCCAGCTTGGCAGGCCTGGCTGTGTACCCGTATGTAGCGTCAAGATGATCGTGTTCCACTGGTAGACCACACCACGAAATTTTGAGTGCACTGCGGCCAATTGTAAAGGGAACTGACTGCCATGGCCACAGTGGCCTTGGTGAAAGTCAAGCCCTGCAATCATATGGATGAGGTTTCGGATAAATAGCTACGCTGACAAGTGTGAACAGGTTCTTTTGACATCACTTGGCACGAGTCTCACTTCAGTCATTATTTTCTGGGCAGGTGTTCCTATATATAACAACAGAAAAGAAAGTGGCTGGTTGTTTGATCGCAGAGGAAATTAGCAAGGTAAGGTAAAAAAAACCTGTGTAACAGTAATTTCTTTCATTGATGAGTTAATGTCAGGATTTATGGATCCCAACACTCTACTTGAAATGTTCCAAGTACCATTTTGAAAACTGTTCACAGGCTACTTTTATGGTGTGTATAAAATGGGTATTTATGACTCCAATTGAAAGTCCTTGTTTAAAGACAAAAGACTGGATCGTCAGAAAGAAATCGATATGTTACCATTAATGTCATTGTGAGACTGAACAAGGCGGACATCTGTAATGGTTTGTACATCCACAATTGTAAGGTCAAATAAAAGGAAAGTTTCTTGTTACTATCTGCCGTCTTGTTTCTCATAATTTTTTCTTTTTAAATATATGTTTGTGTTTGTATTTAGACCTTTTGTTCCAAATAAAATATCAAGCCGTGCATGCATATGTAGAATGTTTGCTCCTTGAGACACAAAAATATCTGCAAAAACACAATCCATCTACCAACTGGTAAAAACCTGTTCACTTGTAAAAATTTACTACTTTTTAAAAGAAAAATGGGGGGAGGGGAATTGTTTCCTCCCCTTCATCGAAAATCTTGGATGCATCCGAAACCTCGGATGAGAAACTAGTTTTATTCTAACATTGCCTATGCCCGAAACTGGAGACTGAACCTCATTTGTGCATGTACGATATTCCCATGTTTTATAGTTGTACTGAATGTTGTTTGCATGGTTGATCCTGCTTCTTGAAGTGGACAGGATATTCCTTACATTATAGAAGTCTTTCTGATTGCTCCATTTGAAGGGGTATCGTGTCATAGCAGATGGAGGGGGTACAGGTCAAAGGTCAAGTGAGGAGCAGCAGATATTCGAGCAACAGCGTGCGTGGTGTTGTGAGACCACACCAGAGCCGGCTGTGTGTGGTGTCAGTCGCATTTGGGTTGCCAGTCAGGAGCGACGAAAGAAGATTGCTACAAAACTCCTGGAGTGCCTGAGGTATGTAGCTGTTGGCATGTTAATCGTTTGTTCCTTGGTTATACCTTTGCAAATTAATTGCTCATCACTTGGGTTTTGAAGGTTTCTCTGGCTTGCATTTCTTGTCTAGGTGCATGTATTATCGTGCCAGAATCTCTTGACATCTTCTGGATATCGACTGGCTCAGTAGTAGTAGTAGTAGGAATCGGACTTTCGCCTAAATGCGTGCTGCATTTTTACGCCCTGGACGAATGAACAAGGCTTGCTTTGTTTGGTACGAGGCATCGCGTGTGACCACATGGGCAGTGTACTTGAGAAACATGACATGGATGAAATCCTTGAGTGGGATGGTGTCAAAATACACATCTTGGTCATCATTTGTGTGCTTGAATTCATTGGTCTCCTTGCTGGAATCGGCCGTTTTTCGGCTAAAACTACCATGTGTTATTTGGCGCAAATAATTGTACCGCAATTTTGTTATCTGGTCCTCTTTCGGGCACTTGGCAATGATGCCATACAGCAGGGTGCTTCTAACAAATGCCTCCAAGAATCTCACTCACGCCGCCCTGCACACCCACCAGTCAGAACTTGCTGGTAGTTGCGAAATTGCCAGGCTGCCTGCGCAATCCTGTTCATGATGTAACTGTCCGTGTCGAGGCTGTGGAGCATTTCCCATTAGATCCCATAGATTAATTTCAAATTAACGGAGCTGTTGAGGTCTCAGTATGATAGATTTATACTTTTAAGAATGAACTGCCTGTATACATGTGTCAATAGCTTTCTTGAAATTGTAGATTTTATTGGATGATATGCTGGTATTGCATTCACACCAGAGTGAATTACATTTATATATCAGTGCCACACTAGATTCACCTGCACAATTTGGCATTGACATAAGACTTTTAAATGATACTTTTAAGGAATAAATCTTGTGTTAAGTTTTGAACTACAGACTGCCTTTGCAGAATGGTGTTTGTGAGTCATAGGTATTGCGGTACAAAGGCAAACGTGGTGCTTGACTTAAATTGCAAAGCTATTCAGCACCATCTCTATATATTTGGCTCATCCACTCCTTTGTGTTGTAGTCAGTCCATCACAAGTCCTTATGAAAGTCCTTTCACGAGGCCAGTTGCAAGTAACGGGGTGAGCCATGGCAAAGGAATGCTTGTTTTGTGGCAGATCATTGGACAGCCTGTGACTCCAATTTTGACTGAATGGCTTGTGATGGACAAGTAATGGACTTGCAAAGACCTGTAACAAGATTTCCTCTAGGATAGACATACATGTACATGTAAATACTGTCCCTTCCTAGCTGAGCTTAAAGGCTGTTCTTCCCAGGAATATTGTTCAAACTGATATTTATTTAATGGTATATGAGATCCTATTTCTACGGCACCCAATAATTTGGAAGCAAATATGAAGACCAATGTTCACTGGGGTTGAAGATTTATGTCAATAAGTGGGCTTGAACATTGTGACCAAACAAAACTGCCCCTCTGAATTAATATTTTTGTCAGTCCTCATGAGACGTGGCTAGATGAGACACTGTTTGTAATGGACTTGACCACCACCACCACTCCTCGCATTACTGCACTGGCTTTTTGAGTGAAGATTTTAAGCAAGAACTAATCCATACTGAAAAATGCCTGTGTGAAGGACTTTGATTTAACCTGATGTTAATGATTTCTGAATTCTTTCTGCCCTTTTAGGAATTATTTTATGTTCGGCAGTGTGCTTCCCAAAGAATCCATCGCATTTTCGGATCCTACCCCAGACGGCAAAATGCTGGCCACTTCCTATATGAAGACTGCAAGATTTCTGGTCTACAAGTATCACTGACAATCGATCGTTCCCTCAATATGTGGGTTACTCAAGCAAATTATACTCTACAATTTGACAAATTATGCCAATAATCACATCATACATTTGTAGATGGCTTTTAAGGACGTGACTCAAGTTTCTTTTAAATTAATGTAAAGTTTTAAAAAAATTCGTGACTAGGCCTTCATACTTTGACCTTGATAATTTTACAAAGATGTGATGTACCTGTTAAGTCATACAGGCATCATGTTACTGAAGTTTAACTAACGAAAAAGGCATTTATTTGCTTGATGATGGATAGTTTTTGGAGACTGAACAACTGTTTTCTTTTAAGCCATAACTTCTTGCAGCACTTAACTGACCACTTTGAGAGATTTTACCTTTATGACGTGCAGTTTGAACTGTAGCAATTTTTGTTGGGAGGTTTGAGGTATGGGTAAACTGTCTTGGGTATTTGTGAATACCAGTCATATAGTATTTATATTTCACTTCATAATAAGAAAATATGCTTTGTGCAGGTGGATGTTATGTAAATTTGCTTGAACTTTCATTTGCCTCCAAAAAATGAAACAGTTCGCTCACTTCCATGGTCGTCAAGTCATGAAAAGTCGATCCCGAATCATCTAGTTTTCAATCCAGTGGTGGTTTTAAGTCAAGTGACAATATATAAGCTTCGACAAGGGCATAATTTTGTTTTTTGTTTACAGCCTATTTCTGGCTTGACTCATTACTGACTACATGTATACGGTGTGAATAATAATTTTGGTGCATGCTAACACTCACTCTTCAATTTTTTAGACTTGGCCAAGAAATTTATGTTAATTGCACTCTTTTTAAACGGTGTAGAATTACAACCCAATTAAACCATGTTTTTAAACAACATCTTTTCGGACCCCAGTTTTCCCAGTGCTTCAAACCCCACGCGCGTTGGCTTCTAGGAGTACAAAAATACTTCTCAAAGTTGTGATGTCTCAGCAAAAATAGATTGGGGATAGCAAACGACATTTACAACTTCTGGGGGCTTGGGCAAAACGTTTACATTTATTACTTATGTAATGGTTTCAGAAAGCAATTCATTTAAAAATGGTTTTCAAAATAATTATTCTCTTCAGATTTCCTTGAGCTTCAACATGCCCGTTTTTGAGGAACGAGTAAGCTTCTTTGGGTGAAATAAAAACATTTTGAAATTTTGGAAACAGCAATACATGTATGTCTTCAGAACACCTTTTGTTGCCTGGTGCTGCTTAAACTGGCCGCGTGGCTGACTCTCAACCAATTAGGCATGGGTAAACTGTCTTAGGTATTTGTGAATACCAGTCTTACAGTGTTTATATTTCACTTCATAATTAGAAAATTTGCTTTGGGGAGGTGGATGTTATGTGAATTTGGGGAGAACCATCTATTTCGACATGGTTTTTTTTTTGCACCACAAATTTCATATATTTTTGATGTTGCAATCACTGGCGGTGAAAAGGGGAGAGCAGGGGAGGTTAGTGGCCCCCAATATTTTGAGCGAGGAGGCACCCTGCTTTTGGTAGGATTCTAAGATGTGCTGCTGAATGGCCCTTTGTATTAATGGCTGCCGCCTGGTACGTACGATCTTACAACTTTCCCCCCTCTGGATTTGAACATTGTTTCGCCGCATTTGTTGGTTGCAATATCTCTCGGGCACACCTAATTTATAAGTGGCTAGACATAAAAATTATGCTATATTAGTAAAAGACCATCTTCTGACTTCCATGTTAATAGTTTTAAACGTTCTTTCCCTACAAAGTGACTGATGTCAACCATGTAATAAAAGTTTTTCATGTAAATGACTCATTTATTTTCTGTGTCGACGCCATATTCTTCTAGTGTGTCTGTCCTGTGAAGAAATTTGCAGTCTCGTATCGCACGACGTTGTAAAGATATCTTACATCGGCCTTATGACTTTCTTGACATGTACTTAAAACAGTTTGTCAATTACGGAGTTGTCTGTGGACGGATCATACACTCCTTCCCCGAAGATCTATTTTAAATAGCTAGATTCCTTCAAACCAATCCACTCATTTTGTCTTTGATGCGGAAGTAAGTGGTAGTTTTGACGGCAGTGCGCAGATTACACGTGGAGGGCCGAAATTCAGGATTAGAGAAAAGAAAAATGAGGAAGTTGGGGATTGCCGGACAGGGTTGGTTATTTTGATTGCGCTGTCTCGTAAACTCTTCAACGGTTTGTTGCTCCATTCTGGATTTCGCACTGGACTGGATTTCGTGTATCTGTAATCTTGTCAAAGCAAACGTTTACAATGTCATATTATACTTGTTTGCCGTTTCACCACTCAGTTTTCAGTCAGAAAGGTTTAGAAGCCAAAATCTGCCGAGATAAATGGCTTCGTTGGGTAAAAACAGTCCAGTCTGGTCTGCTGCCTTGTTAAAGCAAACGTCACGGATATTTATGTTTACCGTTATCTATTCTCAGTGCTTTGTAAACCCATGAATATCTACCAAGGTGAACGTTTCCATCGGAAAAAACCTGAATATGATTATTAATCGAAATGTTTGGATGGGGACATGTAAACCCTATATAACTGACTGTTACTGGACTATTTCCGTGATCCTCTGCAAGACTCAGTACGTGTAGGCCCTCGATGTATTAAAAACTTCAGAATCGTTCGTCTAACGCAACACTTTCCTGCACATTTTATTCTGACTGTCGCATGTTACTAGAAATGTCTGGTGTAGGTTGACTGGTAGAAAAAGCACGCTTGGCTGTAAGGTCCACCTCTCTCGGGATTCCGGTTGATTCACTTCAGTGATCATTGTTGCCCAGGGTGAAGCCCCCCATGGGAACTCTTGCCCCCCTCCCCATCCCCCGCCCCCACCCCGGAAAAATGGGATTTGTTTGGGGAAAAACCTGTCGTAACGCCACCTGTATTGTGTAGCCGGGCGTTTAATTCTTGAGTGTGGACATAAACCTCAGTTCATATACTGGATTGAAGTACGTCTGTGATTAGCCAGGTTTGGTCTGCCTGCTCCGCCGTGTATGCGATACGCGTGGAGTAGGGTACAACATTCATAGTGAGGTGTTGATTCATATCGTTGGTGCCTGAGGACAAACGTGACTGTAACGATTTGATTCCAAGACTACCAACAGTAGCAAGGAAACGTGCACGCCAAACTTGGGCAAATTGTATAGCTTGAAATAGATTTTTGAGAACCTGATAAGCAGTAGCAATAGTCGTTAGGTTAACAGTAAACGCAATGGAAAAGGGTTTTTTTTTGACAGAAGAACTATAAGAGACTTACTCCAATTCGAGAAATGCTGGCTGCTCGTAGATTAAAATGTCAAACCATTTAGTTTTCTTCACTCAGCGGGATATTAATGTTACGAAAGCTTTATGACACAGATTAATAATTAATAGTTCTGCGTCGAATCTTCATTCAATTGGGTTCGGTCTCTTCATTTTAGTCGTATTTTTGCCCGCAGGGGCTGTAAAGGCATGTCCGGCCGTCAACTACAAAGGTGTAATAATAGACCTCATTCACGAGGAAGCTATTTTTAATCGCGTTCCCAGAATCTACCTCATAGAGGCTCTGCATGGCAGCCATCTTTCCGGTAACTGCTTTTGTCGCAGAGGAATAGTACAAAAGGTCTACCAATGTGTATCCCTGTGGAACAAAAGCTCATACCGGAAAAATGGCTGTCATGCAGAGCCTCTATTCGACGTAATCTATCAAATGGGACGATGCCAGAACTTTTGATTCTATGCCTCACTTTTATGTTATCTTATATGATGCCTAAAACATTTGTATGTAATAAATCACAAATTTCAAATTATTCATCATCGTAAATGAACTTAATTTGTAATGAGCTTTTATTTCATTGCTTTCATTTTTAAATAAAATGGTAACCTCACTTTCAATTCAATACGGCCAACTTGTACAAAAAAGGTCAATTCATTAAATGTTAATCTCACTCGTACTACTAAATATTATATAAAATAAGACCTTCCTTAAAATTAATGGGGCAAATGAAATTTTGAGGCTGTATGTGACGCCAAGCCAGTTGATATTACTGCAATTTGGGCTGCCTGTGAACAGTAGGTAATTTGAGGGAGATCAAGCATAGTGGTGCAGCCAGTACGCTGGCGTCTGTCTGCCGGCCGTGCGGCGACTTAGCAAAGGACATAGCCTAAGTGACGTCCATGCGTGCTCAACAGGTCAGTACAAATTACATGTGTTGGCATAGTACACGAACATTGAAGCAAAGCTCCATGATTGGATAACCAAAGGAAACTAATTTTGTCAAGTTATTCTGAAGAAGATAGTATAGATAAAGACCTAGTCGGACAATGAATGTCGATGATATTTCATAGAATCCATTGTCATTCTAGACAAAACCAACCACCAGACGACTGACACGAGTTGGTGCATACTCATGCTTGGCAAAAGGTCGTCCATCCGGTAAGAAAGGAAGTAAACACAAGATATACAGTAACAATCACGTGTGTAATTTCCTCTGATGAAAGTGCAAAGAAATAGAAGGCAGTTTGTACTATAGCACAGGAATGTACTTACATGAACAAAGTTAGCATGAGTTTCTGACTCTCACTGGCTCTAATTAGACATTGTAGTGGAGAAAGGACTTATTTCGGCAGTAACACGCATCTTCACCACTGGAAACACACGACTATGTTTCGCTTTTGCTCATATCTTGTGGTCCTCCTTTGCATTGAGCCAATATCAACTAGTTACAGAAGTAAGTACACACACTAGAAACTGACAGTGCTATTGCACAGATGGAACCTTACAAGGACATGGTGTGCCTCGATTGGTTTGATGTCAGCCTGGGAGATTCGGTTAACTCTATGTCTATCATTCTTTGCGTGGCGTTCTTTTATACACTACGGTGTATTTTAAAGCCAACATTAAATATTGTCTTGCAGAGCTATACATGTTGATATTTGAAGAGCCCATTACACAACCCGCCATGACAGTACTGTTGGAGTGTGGTGATCTTTTCATCCGGTTTCGCGTAGGCCTTTAGTGTGAACATGTTTGTAATTTTGAAATCGTCACGCAATAACACAGTTTTTAAATCGATAGTAGTAGATATTATCCTTGACACTGCTTGAAAAAAGCGACATTTGATAGGTTTGTTCACGTTGGACCCGACGGATCATAGTGCCAACACCACCGCTGTAAGTCGATCGCGTTTTCCGTCTGATTCACTGTTGTGAAAGAATGTGCAGAAATGGGGTCGTCAAGTCGGAGATTTCATGTAATCGCGCGATAGGCACAGCTCAATCGATCTATCGTGAGTATCCGCAGGCCAGGCATTTACACGTTTGCTGAATGAATGAAAGCTTAAATAAATACACTTCATCTGGGACTGTAGTGCTGTTTCCTTCCGGTGAAGGAAATGGAGACGTGTATTGGACAGATACGTCCTTTTAACGTCAAATTGTCTAACTAGTCGTGAACATGAATAGCTATCTGCGTGGCTCACCCGAAAGTTAGAGACAGAGAGGGGGGGAGGGAGAGAGAACGAAACAATCGTTTGAACCCCCACCCCACCCTGCTCTTGTCGAAATTATGAAGGAAACTTTGCAGTGAAGACAAACTTAGCATAGACACTTAGTATATGATCTTGCTTCCTTGTAAACGTCGTGCCGTTGACGGTCAAGAAACCGAAGTTATTCGTCTATTGAAGTTCCTATGGGCCTACCTTTCGCGAGAGATATAAGTAATTACCAATCGATGGCAAACAGAAGTCAAACTATAGAAGCAGATTGACCAGACGGAATTTTGGGCTTATGAGACTTACTGAAAGGGCTTACTTACTGAAGGTGATTCTGTATGAACATTACATTTCTCTTCTTTGCCAAGTGTGTAAACCACCTCAAAATTTGGCATCACGGAAACGACGCAGAAAGGTCATAATAGGTTACACAGGAATACCTTGTTTTCTGGGGCCCCTCCTGCCAAAATAATTGCCCTCCTGAAAATGTCGTTCCTGGTTTCCCCCATGTGACTAAATAGAGCGAGTGCCTCGTGATAAGAATAGTTACTGGCACGTGATGACCTCTGACTTTTAATGACTTGATCGTGTCTATGGCAAATACATGAAACGCAGGATGGTCATCACATGGTTATAATTCAAAACTGAGGGTGTAACCGGTTTTGTTATCTCGATCGCTTAGGTTTAATTGCCTGCAGTTTTGAGTCGGCCTGTGCTTTGAGACAGGACCAGGGAGATGATTTTGACTGGATGGAAGGTCGAGGTCGAATGAAAGGTGACGGCATGTTTGCTCCATCTGGCGATCACACTTACGGCACTTCCGTGGGTTAGTTCCGATGCAGATTGCGTATAGGTTGAGCGTGACCTTCAATTTACAAACCACTCAATAAAGTACTGTATAAAACACCGTTACGAGATTCTCTAAAATGTTTGAGAGAAACAATGTTCTAGTATTTTCACATCGTTCATTTCTGTTCACTTTTGGGGTAGATAATTATTGACTTTTGGAAGAAATTTCTGTCCGCAGTTGATCCAAAAAGTTCTCAATCAAATTGGCATTTTGAAAAATGATGCTTACACTCCATTGCTCAATACGAAGATTTTCAGGAAGAAATTTTGTCCAAATTTCACAGAAATACAGACTTGCAGTGCAGTTCAAATCTTCCATCTGTCTTTTTCAAACATTACAGTTCATGGGCCACAAAATGATATGAAGAGAATTCGAGGTCTCGCATATCGTGATTTGATCCATGTAAGGCTACCTGCCGTATTTGAGGCATATAGTTTACTGGCCCGCAATCTTACACGGTCCTCAAGTCTTGGTAGAGTGTTAAATATTAAATCATGCTGGTTAGCCTGTACCTTTATTCATGATGAATCATGTTCTGTATTGAAACTGTGGTTTATATCTCTACTTTTCGGTCTTAAGGGGTGTATTTTTTTACACCATCTGACGTGACACGTGAAGGACAGTCGGGTAAACTGGTTTCAGAGCCAATGCCACTTGCTGCGAACACCACCGTCTCCGTTGACTTTGTGTATCATATGTTTGACGAGGAAGGACAGGATAGGCTGGGATCTCTTAGGGTGTACATCAACGATGATATGATATGGTCGAGGACTAGGAACCAGGGACCAACGTGGATGCGGGCAATTGTGAACGCGACATCCACCAGCACATCAATACAGGTAAATGTACGAGATGTACATTTACTTGATTTACTGGAATCTCAGGAATCCTTTTGAGGCATCCAGGGGGATGTGTTAGGTAACAATAGTCTAGAATAATTATGGGAATTGGACATGGGGGTACCCCTCTGTCTCATTTCTTGCTGGGTATATACATATGACAAGGACAAGGCAATAAGAGAAAGACACTTCAACATTCTGCAGCGTCATTCGCCATAACCTTTTTGTGACCTTTGGCTGCCAGGTCCCGTCTGTTAAACATTAATTTTTTCAAATAGTCGCGAAAAATAATTTGGTTTTTACGCTTGTGCATTTTGTTTGCACTTAAGATTTTTGAAAATCAAATTGGAAGAATATTTGTGACGGATTTGTGACACAGTTATCACAACTGTCAAAATGCAGTTTTAAAACAGCGGGTTGCATATGATGAAATGTTCACACTAACTTGTGTTTATGATTACTACTTTTAGGTTACTTTTGAAGGTATTCTTGGTGGTATGCACAGTGACATTGGACTCGACGACGTTCTCATTGGAATCTACGAAACAACATCACCAGGTAAAACCCCCACATAACGGTTACACTATGCATGGTATATGTAGCCCACTTAGTTGAAGGTCGGAACTACGGGACAGGGAGTGGGACCAGTTGGCTAGGTACAAAAGAAACTAAAGGTCGCTTCATACTGGGGGCAAACGCGAAAGTGAATTTGACGACAGGAAAAATATGCAGCAACATTTCGCTCGATCGGAGTTGAAATTGTTTCAACCTTTTACGAATTCGCAGCGCGAATATTTGAATCTGACGTCACAGATTCGCGTTTGTTTTCACTTTTGTGCCAGGTATTTATAAACCGATCATAATGCTGTTAATAATTTTCCATGAAATCGCTTCCAGAGTTTTGGATTGTGTGCAATTAAGCCAATCTGGAAACAAAACTTTAGGTCATCGTGACGCAGTGAACGTGGTTCTTTTATTTTCAACGGTGTTGTTTTATCGAATGGAGTATCCATTGCACTCAGCTCTGGTGACGCTACTGAAAGAGAGAAAAATCACTCTTTGCGAAAAGGACTCAGGACAAAACTGTTCCGTGCATGGATCAGATCAAGTTGTCCACTTGTCGATTTCTTTTTCAATTATGTGGGGACGTTGCCACAAAAGAACAAACCTGGAGCTGGCTTACGTGTTGTTATGAGCTAGAGAAGGGATGAGTATTATGGCCGTTGTTCGAATCTTACTGCGGGTCCTAAAATAAAAAGAAGGTAAGAAAGAGAGAGAGAATTCTTTCTCTCTTTCTTACCTTCTTTTAAATTTCTTTCCTGTTGGAAAAGATAAATTTGGAAAGGTAATTCAATTTACTGCCCAAATTTGTAAGCTTGAAGGTTGCTTTTTTATTATTCAACGCGTATATCCAATTAAGCCTCCCTTCCTTGGTGTTACATGCATCACGTAATACAAACAGTTATTAAAAATCCATCGCGTTCCAAATGTGGACATTTGCTTCCAAAGATCAAATAAGCCTATGCGTTTGTTTTAGTCTTCTCATGCAGGTTGACGTTGTACAGATTTCTCGATCAGATTTTGCTTACTGTTTATATGCATAATAATGTATTACCAGATTTCACAACAGAAGTTACGCCAGAAGTTACGCCGTGTGAGACAGATACACAAGGTACTTGTATTGCCATGGGCATAAATATTACACCCTTTAGAGGGTTTAGAATTTCAAAATACTTTCGCCTCCCGGTCTTTGGCTAATGTCCGAGTAGGAAGCTTGAATGTCCTGGTTGAATTATAAATACTATGCTAATCACATTTCAAAACCATTAAACACTTTTATGTTACTAAATAGCCATTAAACACTTTTCTTAACACTTTAATGTTGTCAGTTTGTAAACATGTTTTAATGCTAAGCATGTTTAGAGTTTTGATGGACGGATGTTTAGCCACTGGACATTCGTGTTGAGGAATTGAACACCAAATCCAAATCTTTAAGTAAACATGTTGAAAAAGTGAAAGCAAGATTGTGTTTGAATTCCTAAGGACAGTTTTTAAGAAGTACTATAATGATTTTTTTGATCAGTGTGAAGAATATCGTTGAAATAATAACGCACAAAGCCTGTTAGTACTATTTTATACCGGACCTTAAATGAGCATGTGATGTTTGTAAAATGCATTTCTTTTTTATTTTTGGTGACGGTTGTAAATATTGATTTGAACCGAATAATCAGCGCAGTTTATTTTTATTCTCAGGTTCATGGAAAGTCGTTGCCTGTGTGTCACTGTTGCTTGTTGGTTGCATGGGAATTTGTCTAGTTATTGCTGCAGTGTTTGTACTTAAGATCAGGTTAGTAAAATGTTAAGCACATTTTGCGTAATAACCGTTTTTGTTATTGTTTACTCTAAACTGGGTAGTCACTAGTTTCATTCTTTCGGATTTAGAGAGTACGACAAAAATCACTCTACTTTCCACTTTCCTACTTTAAGAATAAAATAGTTCTTCTCTTTGGGTCTGTATTATTAGGTAAATCAAGCTTTTACCGTTTTACCATCAAATCTGTTTCCTATATTTAAGGTATTTATCGTTTTTCTTCTTTTTATTTTTAGAAAGAAGATTAACATGACAAAGGGGAGTGTACCTAGTAACGTCCATCTCGAAAGTGGATCAAGAAACGCAGCCCCTAAACAGTGTCATGCAGGTGAAGACCCTGATGGGTATTTGCCACTGAACGCAGCCATTGCAAAGACCGCCGATAAAGGCATCTCGTCTGGTACCGCGTCTGCTCCACAAGTGGAAAGACATGGAGACCTGTACCTCCAACCCACTTTACCCCAGCAAGCAAGGAAAACGATGCCACACACTGACAGACCATGCAACCTTTTCCTCAGATCGCGCAAAGTCTCGTGGAATAATGACAATAAGGATAACCAGGACTGTGATTACGAGTGCTTAGCCTCCGAATAGGAACAGAGTGGATGGGATATAATTTTCCATGCCTCCTGCTTTATGGAAGAGCCGCAGTGGGCAAACGCAACGTTTTGTGCTTGAAAATATTCCCATACCCGCCACCCTGGAGGAATGTTGGATCTATATGACCCTACACTTTGGTACCGATCAGATCCAAAGATGTACAAATGCGCCGTTTTGACAAAATGTATACAATTAGTCATGTTAAGTTGCATTACCACACAGCTACCCTCCCAAGTTGATTGATATGTGTCCACCCCTGGGGGGCAAGTTTAGGGTTGAGGATTTAGTTATCACTATCCCCCTATCTCTCGCACGGATTAAGGCCACATTCATTTAGAATTCATTTATAACGTTTACTTTATGCTTCAGAGGGGTTACAGCTTGTACTTTGTATTTGTCGATTCTCAAATGCTAAAAATTATACTCAGAATAAGACGTGAAGAGACTTCTTTCACGCGACGGGTGTTTCGAGGGAAAGAAAAATGTCATTTGATTTATTTGTTGGTCGTGTTTTCGCCATGAGAGAAAATAAATAAGACTTGAGGCTATTTCTCCTGAAGACGAACAGAGCACACTGTTCGAAACGTCGAGTGAACCCCGGTTCTTTTCAGAACCACACACACTCAAAGAGAGAATTTGATTACATGGTGTCACCGCAAACTTCACATAATGAGAGAAAATGTAGTAAGGCGCGTCTAATAAAACGCATTCAATGCTTGTAACGTGGATGTTTTCAAGGGTTTATGGTCACTCTATAAACTAGGGGTCTCAAAGTGTGACATTTGAACAATTCTGCGTCCCAGGTTTGCCGGACCTGTGATATTTGACATGGAAAATCACTGAATGTGACTCCAACCTACTCTTATTTTTATGGCAGGCAATTGGCATCACTTATTCACTCTTGGAACTTGTAATCTTTATCAAAATCATATGTCAGATGCGACGGGACACGAACAAATTTTGACCAAAATTTATAGAATGACCCTTGCACGAATATTTAAATAGGGCCTACATGGAAATACTGCAGTCTCATGTTTGGATGTTTCTCGAAACATAACAATACAGTTGGTTAATTTGAATGGTTTCTGTACAGGTGTTAGCTCTTCTGTCTCCTGGAAAGGGATTCTTTTAAGTCTCAAACGATCTTGAGTGATCTGCCAAATGAACTTATAGTTCGTATACTTTGCAATCTAACTGTTAAAGATCTCTGCCAAATGTCTTTATGCAGTCGATTCTTAAGAGGCGTGGCAAATGACGATTACTTGTGGCGCCGTCTTTGCCAAGATAAGGGGTGAGATTAGTACAGGGCCATCCAAGAAAGTACCATTTGCCACGACTGGTCAAGACCGGTGCCAACTCGGTATAAAAGGGGTGCCCCCCCCAACGTTCCCGGTCGATCTTGTCAAAGCTGGTTCAGAGAGGCCTGAACTGAATGCCGCAAGGTGAATGCTTCAAGGTGTACATGAAAGCGAAACACCTGAGAAAACTTCTAAAAAAAATCGCTGCTATTAAGTTACACTTGAGTCTTGGATGGGTCAAAAACGTTACGACAGCGTTGGTCACGCCATCGATGTACGAGAACGGAGGCTCTGTAATTTGGCTGGGGAAGGGGACTGTTTAGGTGCATGTTGGTTTCCTTAATCATACTTTGCAGACTGGAGATCTTTCTACTGGGAAACGCCATCACATCATGCTAGTAGGTGTCAGTTGCTTTCGTGACGCTCTGAAGATGAAGGATGCCGTCGTAGCTGCAGGATGCTGGGATCGTAGTATTCGCACCTACTCTGTCAAGATTGGACAGCAACTGCGCGTTATGTCTGGACATCGTCAGGCAGTGTCTTGTGTCTTCTTTGATGGCGACACTATCGTTAGAGTTGCTCAGCCAGAAAATAAGGATAGAGGAGAGTACACAGACAGTGACGTGCACGTGTGGAATGTTGAAGATGGTGCTTGTCGATGTATCCTCCTAAACGCGTCCAGGGAGACATATCTCATTCAATTGGACTATTCTGTTTATAGCAGTCATACAAATCAAGTGTGGGATGCATGCGGTGGCTCTTGCATACAGCGAGTTACTTGCTGATGTGACCAGATTGATAGTGTCATCTTGGAGATGGCACCTTCACATCTTACGATATGATCGTGAAGACTTGACATCTGGAATTTGCAAGATGCGCTAAGACATTTCAAGTGCCATTTGTGCCATAGTGTACGATTCCAGAGATGATAAAGTAATCTATGATTTATAGGATTAAGTTCAAGCAACAGAAAAGGAAGAGCCCAGAGTAATGTACAGGCAGAAGCACTCAGCTCAAGTGAAAACCCTGAAGTGATTTCTGTTACCCAGAAAGCTCTTTATATGGAGATTGAATGGGAATAGATCACACGAGGGAACACCCCCAAAAACCAAGGATGCTTTCATTCATTCAATCAACATGATAGTGATTACATGTGGGTGAATATTTTTAATCTATATTCTTAACCTATATTAAAATACAGGAACTCGAAGAGAAATAACAACGTATGCTGGATTTTTATAAGTAGGACCTACACTTAAAAGTATTTCACAGGTACAACGCTTATTAAAATGCAGGAACTCGAAACCAAATAACAATGTAAGCTGGATTTTTATAAGTACACTTAAAAAGTTAAAAAACTGTAACCACCGGCATAAGGAACTTAAGGAATGCCAAAGATTGGCAAAGTTTCACAAACTTAAAAACATGCAGACATAACCTGCTCAAATCCAAGATAACCGAATTAAGGTTTACATGCATTCCAACTAGGAGTTGGACTAATCATCCAAGTAGTGAATGTGTGCCCCCCTCCATAAATGAATAAATAAAAACCGAAAACGTGATGTGACCATGCCGCCCCGCAAGAGGGATGGATCGTTAAGGACACGTAGGATCCTTGTGACCCTAGACCGATACCCCCCCCCATAAACACTTTACCAACGCATTCATATAGAAGGCCTAATTGCTTTTCATGTCGAATATCTCCCGAACTAATTGGGCAGTTCAGTTTCATTTTCAATATAAACCATGATTATGTTTAAAATCTTCGGGAATGTGTCCAACTAAGCATCATCAAATGACAAATGACTGACACTGATGGATGAGGCAATCTGGTTGAAGGCGCCTTTCCACAATGTGGGCCGAGGGTTTTTTGGTTCGTTACGTAACCGAGGCGTCCATGCGTTTCACTTTCACGGACACAAAAATCGACTCCATTGACATAACACACATTTGCGTTGCGTTTCGCCGTCAAAATCGCCCACAAGCGATTCTTAAGGAGACGCAACGCTTGGCGCAAGTGTGGACGCGTATTATGGAAAGGCACCTTCAGATGAACTACATGTAAATAAAAGACCGTTCAAATCCACTTCCGTAACGGCCGACCTACTGAAGAGGCGACTCGGATTAAAACGATCGAAACTGTAAGATTTTAATCATAAATTATAACCAAGGCAACAAAATGTTCAAACTGGCATCAACGACTATATACATAATTCTTTATGAAGAAAATAATCTCAGTGTCGGTCTTCTCTCACTGTTTACAATCACTATTCACAATAGACGAAATTCTGTCCAAGCCTTTGTACACTAGATGTCACACCTTGCATTACAGGTGTAGGCCGCTGTCCTTTTTACGTCTAGTATAAGCCATTGATGACCAAAGACTTCAAACCTGTAGGGAAAAATGCATCCATGGGTTAATTACAACAGAAACATAAACGTCATAAATGAAAACAAAAATTGAGAATAAATCTCCATGAACGTAGTCGACGTAGATTTTTAATATTTCTTCAGGGCTGCGTTAAATATTCATTATTCCCTTTTCTTCCACGACGATAATTAATGCAACAAGGAAATGAACTGGAACATTAAGGTAGGGCAAATTTCACGTGAGGTTCTTGACAAAGAAAAGCTGTGTCCAAAATTTGTAGCTTTAGTTGAAAATAAAACGTGAAACTACGACATCGGCTGTAACACATTTTCCAGCGCCACGTGTTAGTTCTGCCACAGCTCCATGACTTGGACCTTCCGATGTGGCTGGATCTTTTTCCTGCAATTGACGGAAAATAAACCCACCTGCTACGGCTGACTGGAATCCTGCGTTGTAATCCGTTGCCACTTCGTTCTGAACGAAGTCCCGCCGATTGTTGACGAAACCGTCGTTCTGATCCGGCCCGCCCACCAGAGCGCCCTCTAGAACTTGAGGGTTTGGGTCGCTGCCGTCGAGATTGCCCCAATCGCAAGGGGCAGGCATGTCAGGACAAGAGCTGAAATAAAATGAACGAATGAATGAATGAAGGGCTCACAAGACAATGAATGTGAGAAATGGGAACATCAGATTTGAAGCAAAAATAATTCATTCAAACTACAATGAGGGAATGTTCTTGCAGGACAGTGGTACAAATTTTTACATTTCCCCGCGTGTAATCCCGGATTTTAAAATCATGTCATGTCAAGGAATGTGACCGTGGAAAACACACATTCACCTGCTTTGAAAACACTTCTAACTTGGCAGATGTAATCTTTTAAAAATGTAAAATTTGCATTGTTTTACCTTGCTCGATGATGCGGGGAATGAGGTGGGTTATTGCCAAAGCCTACGACATAACTCCTGCCTGCATCACCCAACATGTAGTTGATCTGCTGCTTGGCAAAGTCGCTGTATTTTGTCGCGTCGATTCCTTCGCGTGCAGCAACAAGGGCCAGGAAAGCCGTGTTGGCTGTCAAAAAATCCAAGCATTATTTTATTACAATAGCAATCAAAAACATACTCTGCAATGAAATCTTCAATTTAGACCAAAAGGGAAAATTCTGATGGCCCTGACAACACTCGATCTTTACCTGCATAACGATTAGTTCCCCACTGGTCCCTCCATGCCAATCCCTTTGGTGTGTAGTGTATGTTCCCTGGTTGCCAGCTATCTAAGAAATCAGTGATTGCAGTCTGGTACCGAGAGGCACCGGTTAGCTGGTACATCAGCATCTGCAAAATACGAAGAAAAAAATAAATAAATAAAAGCGCAAGCACTGTTTTCAACTTTACATCTGACAGCATTTTTACTTAAGATTCCTCCATATTTTTGAAGTTGTATCAACAAGGCTTTTCAAATGTATTACTAACCATAACACCAGCTTTCTTATCATCCCATGAAAATGCCCAAGGAGTGCCACTCCCGATATTGAAGGTGTCATAGTGGGCCGTTGCTGCCGTCACGTAGCTGCTGTCCCCGGTGGCGCGCGCCAGCCAGGCTGCACTCCAAGCCAGCTCATCCCCATAACCGCTGTGAGAACTTCAGAACAATATCAAAGACAACCGGAAAGAAGATTATTTTTCTTCTTAAGACTAAATTATACAGTAACCTATTGACATTTAATAACTGTCCAACTGCCTAATTTCACTTCGATGCTGTTCCTGTGCGATTTTTTTCTTGAGATATTGCGAGTATAGGCAAGGCCAAGAAGCATATGCACAACTATGGAATTTAATGATATGTCAAAAAGAATGCCTTCTCAGTTCAAATAACAAAGTGAAGACTCACTCGTAGAAACTTGCAGCGTTGGGAATGGCGTCTGTGTATTTTCCTCTCCACCTGTTGGCAAAATCGTAAAGTTCTCTAGCGTGTTGAAGAAGTTCATCGGCGTATGCTGGGTCTACAAAAACAGGTGAAAAAAGCGCAGCAATTAGTTTGCATACAGTAAAATTCAGTGAAGTTTAAAGTTATCTTCATCCATAAACATGCTCTCTACACTGCATCATGACACCCTCCAGGCTCAGTATTACAGAACCAAACACTGTTCAGGAAACCCTTTTTATTGATAAGTAGCAGGTTTTATCTCACCAGTTTCTCTAAAGGCAATACTAGAAGCAGCCAACGCCGCGGCCGTTTCACCAGCGATCTCAGTCCCAGGGTTGGCAGCAGTAATCTTAAAAGCTGGTCGGTTTATCGTCATGTCCTCAGGACGACCCCAATATGCGTGATCGAGGTGGCCGTCTCCAACCTGGATGATTGAAATATGAATTGCATTTATAATATTATATAGTATATGGCATTATGCACATTCGTGTGGACAGAGAACCATTTTTTTCCTGATTGAGTCATCGTTCGTCTTACCTGTGCGTAGAATTCATACATTCCTGTGTGGCATTTCAGGAAGTAGTCAGTTGCCCACTTGATGCAATCCAGCATGTTGACTAATTCACCTGACCCAATGTAGGCATCACGGTACTCGACTAAGCCCCACGCAAGAACAGTAACAGTGGATGCCATCGGGAAACCGAATTTCACGTGATCTCCAGCTTAAGTCGAAGAAATAACACAAATTGCTCAATAAAAGTACCAACCTCTATGATGGTGCAAATCCCTTTTTTATCGGGGGAAGGGGTTGCTTGTTTTGATTTTGAGATGTTGCGCTATTTGGTCTTTTCTTCATCATTGCAACAATCATCCAAATATTTGATTTGTCAGAGAAAACTTCTTTCTTGAACCTACCATCAAACCATCCACCAGTCAGATCCTCCCCGTTTAAGCCTCTATCGTTCACGGTGCTGTCAGCTCTCCAAGGAATGCGATTATTAGCAGGCAGAGGTCCTGATCGTTGTGCCTCATAAAATAAAATGGACTTGTGGATGACCTCAGCGTAGTCATAGGGAGCTATAAAAGAGTAAAGACAGCGAATGTAAGTTGAACTCACTTTTAGCTAAACTAAACCTCTGAATCAATGACAAATGGGACAGTTCAACCTTACCTGACGACGGTGTTAGAGGTACGCCTGTTGTGGTGGCCTTTGCCGTTGTTGGCAGCGCTGGGGTTGAGGGTTCGCTGACTGGAAAAGTTGTCTGTTCAGAAACGGGTTGTATGGTGCGAGGTTCAGTGGGAGGTTCGGTTGGAGGGACCGTGGAACGATATGTGGAAGGTTCAATGCGAGTTTCAGTGGTGTGTGCCTTGGATATCGTCGTTGAAACTTCTGTTGCACCTGTTGGAGTCGGCGTGATGGAGCAATCGGGTTGGCCAATCATTCGAGCAGTGAAACTGGGCGTGTTTGAAGCTGAGGCTTGGAACTGCTCTCGCAAGACGGCGCCAACTAACTGATCAGCATTGTAGTCTTTGTTCTTGATCAAGTACGTCTTTCCTCCGTCCAGAATACTGAGAACATTAGCTCTGTATACCTAGGATAGACAAATGGTCATTAAAGGAAAATAGATTTCAGTCAACCAATTTTAGCGTCCAGATAAAAATTAATTTGTACTTGCACACTAGCAAGAGACCAAACATACAAGAAATAAGTGTGAAACGAATGCTGAAGATGGCGTGGTAGGCCCCTATTGCAGTCATCTCAGACAACTTGGGTTAGAAGACTCAGGAGAAATTCCGGTAAGTGGGAAACAAATGGAAGAGGTACACAGCAAAACAAACTGTACCTGCAGGTTCAAAACCGGCTCTGAAAACTTGAGTTCGACCAGCCAACCCCCGGACACTTCGTTCCTAATCGGGATCACAATCTCGCCTTTGAAGTTTCCAGGCCACTCGTCCACAATATTTGTAAGCGGACATTGCAGGGTTGAAGCAGCCGTTGTTGGCGAGGTGGCGTCTGGCTCGGATGTGGGCGGCGGGAGTGTTGTAGACGGGTGACAGGATACGGCCGAGTCTCCTTGGCAACATTCTGGTTGACCGACCATGTGGACAGTAAAACTGGGAGTTACTGCTGCAGAAGCCTGGAATCTTTGGATGTGTTCAATCCCCTCAGCGAGATCGGCATTATAATGCTTGTTTGTGAGTCGATAAATTTTGCCTCCTTGCAGGATGTCCGTAATTTGTGCATCATACACCTGCAGCAATATCAAAACACAAAATTATGTTTATAATTCTATTGAAGATATTCGCTAAGATTCCTTCGATTACGCCTTGTGGTCTAAGAAATCAAAAAATTAGGGCTTACTCTACGAATGAAATCTACTACACTTTGTACCGATAATACTTCATTCACAGAACAAATTGGCTGAAGATTTTTTCTTCCTCTTTCGATCGTCCTAGCAGATCCTGGGATCTTTCCTACTGGGGTGTCTTCCGATCCCTGTATAATTAATCTTTATCAACGAAGTTGGTTTTTACTCAAGAGAAACGTCCAGCAAAAATTACCTGAAGATTGAAAACTGGATCAGAGAACACAAGTTCTGCCACCCAGCCACTAGTCACTTCGTACTCGACCAGTACCCTGAACTCTCCGTCGAAGTTCCCAGGCCATTCATGGGTGACTTCAGCAGAGGAGCAGCAGGTCCTGCAACCCAAGGGAGTGGCAACCAATGGCCGTGGTGTGGTAGGAATAACCGCCCCGTCTAAACACTGACCACAGTCCGCCTGGCCTAGCAAACGAACAGTAAAGCTGGGTGACGGTCCGTTAAACTGACCGAGGAAACTCATGACCAGGTTTCTTCCTGGGGAGAGGTTTCTATTCCAATGTTTGTTCTTTAAGATGTACAGGGAAGAGTTACTTTTAGTGCTCTTGATGTCTGCTCTCCAAATCTGTAAGGGATAAAATATGGGAAATGGAAATAAATGTTATAACTCTGGGTTATGCTAACCAGCGAACTAAAGGCTTTCTTGGAGGAATTGCAACTATATCTCAATTATTTCAATTTGAACAGTTCTAAAATCGTATTCTGTGTAGAATAGACACAGGAAATAAAACCAAACTTATGTCAATGAAAGCTCGTCTTCAAACTTGAAGGTTTTATGATATAAGTGGATATAGTTTGAGAGCTATGTATCTCAGTAGCTAGAATTTTAAAAATTGCAACATAAAGTATATAAGTGGTAAAAATATCGGAAGCGCGCGCCCCTTTCGCGAAGAAAGGTGATTATTTCAGACTCTCGAACAATGTTTAGTCTGATTTTTCCTGATTTTTGCTCACATATTTCTAAAAATTATGCTCTTGAAATGTTTGCATAGAGACACATTATTTTAGCATCTTACCTGAAGGTTTGTGACTGGCTTGGAGAACTGCAGTTCCAGGGTCCAACCCTCAGACACCGAGTTCGTGATAGGAATTGAAAACTCGGCATCAAAGTTATTAGGCCACTGATTCCTGATGTACGTCGTGCTTCCACAAGTGTAACATGCTGCGTTGACCACTGAAGAGCAGACTACCAGGAGGTCAAAACACAGTAGCATGAATCGCAGCATCTTGTTCTGCGGAATATCACATTTGAAAAAAAAAAATCAGCTCTACACAAAAGCGTTGATGCTTTCAATTCCATTGATGATTAATTGATATGGCTCCGTGAGTGTTTTCCTAGTTGAATCGCGAATGGTTAGAGATGGATAACTTAACTTGCTAAAAACAGAATGATATACTGAAAAATCAGTCCACGATAAATTAAGTTTTCACTTTTGGAACGACGACTGTCCCTCTCCATTTACATAATCGTGACTGTATCTCCGCACTTCACATGGCATGTAATAAGAACAACTTTTGTATTAGATCAGAGCACACAAAACAGTTTTTAAAAATTTGTATATCCATTGGAATGTTGCAGCTGAATAGTTCGTTACAATTCACTGATGAAATTGTTCAGCATACTACAGAAATCTGTCCTTTTCATTAATTATTCAATTATAATTGTAACATTTTAAGCAATAGAGCAATCCAGAATTTCATGTTAACATTATTCTAGAGGCACTGTAAAATCAAATGAAAACTTTGCGGTGCTAAATTTTCATTATCATGATAACCATTTCCAAAATCTTCTTTTGAAGTTTTTTCAATGTCTTAAAAAGACATCAGTTTTTTAATTTTTTCGTGAGCTGTCACTTATGGTTTACTGATAAATAACCGCCCACTTCACAGATGGCAGTGCAGTTATTTACACTTACCTGTTTGATGAGGATTCCCAAAGATCTGATAACTTTTCTCGGTTACTGACGATTGACTAAGTTATGTCTGATGTTCCTTTCCTAAAGCTCGCTGGAGACGGTTGAATTCATTAGGTCAGAGCCAAGCAAGTCCCTGGGCTTTTATGCTGTGCGGGTTCGGTCTGTTTACCGATTTGCTGGACAAAGCTTTGTATTCATTGAGGCGGATTAGGGGAAGACCTGTTAGTCAGTAGACAAGAAGGACGTCTGGGTATGTCACGGTGATTGGCTCACGGTCGGAGGGGGTAAGAACCTGTCAGCAAATTCATGATTTTCAAAACATGGACTACGTAATAGTGTGCGTCACGATAACTTTCGACCAATTAGGGCAGCTGACACACAGCATGAGAGTACGTCATACCAATTGTCGACACACGTTTAATAGCAGCAATAGAACATCTTGACAGCGTAAAAACTTTGTGCTGTGTGAGTGCATGCGTCTGGTTATCGATTTGCTGCACAAAGCTTTCTATTCACTGGGGTAGATTAGGGAAGACCAGCGGGACTCTTGACAAGAATGACATCTTAGAATGCCACGACAATTGGGATTGGGTCGGAGGAGGTAAACCCTTCCCACTTCAATGCTGGTTCACACATTTAAAAACATGAACTACGTAATAACGCACGTCATAACTTTTGACCAATTACGGCAGCTGACAAACACCAGCGAGTGCGTCATAGAAATAGCCGACAATCTCTGGCCAGGAATAAAGAAACAAACTAGGGAGGGGCGGACGATGGCCCGATCTGGGTTTAATAGCAATTATAGAAGATACAGAACCAGCTGGTGGATTCGGAGAAGCAAGAGACATGTATACGGCATTGTTGCTATGGCCTTGCGTAGCCTCTATTTGAGTGAATAGTGTTTCCTTTAAGATATCTCGATGTCTGAAATAATTTTTTTAAATGAATGTACTTATCAAAGAGAACATGAGTTGCTTTTTAACCTTTCATTTTGACTGAGTTTTGAAACACAAATTAGACAATGTGACTTATCCGCAAAGATATCGTTGATATAAATTGCGTTCGTCACGCTTGAGAACAGCTGACGCTTTGAGTTTTGGGGCCAAGTGAACAGGCTTTATCATGCGTGGAGATTCACGAAAGAGAGAGGTGCAAATTGTAAAGGATCGACGCAATTTGTACATATTGGTGGAGCAAGGATGTGGAGATTTCATACTTGTACTTCAGACTTAAGAATGATCAAGAAAAAACCTGACGATCGTAAAGCGAGCTTCATCAATCGGTGCGTGTTTTAATTGAGAAAGCCTTATAATTTGCTAGTTTGTATGTAGATTCTCTTAAAAAGAGGTTTGTGGAACTGTTAAATATTCGATATCTGGTTTGCAGATAAATTATCTGGCACAGTGGGTTTGCGGTTTTGAAAAGTAAAAAAAAAATAGTCACTGCAAACTACTTGTTGCTGAACTGGCTGTTTAATATTTCATAGTTGGTTGTAGGTTGCACCAGAGCAAGGTAGATATTTTCAACGGCCTGATTGGTTTTTTGTCAGCATCTGATTTCTTTGATTTGATTTATTCGCTTTCCCACGTTGCAAACACATGTATGTACAGACAGAGCTAGAACACAGACAACTAGACCTGTTGACCGAAAAAGAAGAACCAGTCATTGGGGAAAGAAGGGATAACGCAAAAAAGTGAGGAAACCTCATTTCCATTGTGGTCCCATTTTAATTAATTTATCTCTCCCATTTTAATTGCCGCCCTCCTCACGAAGGGAAAACATTGTTTGGCCGATAGCTTCTACCCTGCTGTCACTGAGCAGGTGTAGACATTGATTAGTGGTAAACAGGACATGCTTTCGCGTAAATGCCACAAATTTACACCTTTTAACACCGTTATCTGAAAACCACTAATGTGCTAATGATCCCAGCTTTATTTCTAGATGTGGTGCTTTGTGGGGACCATTATGGGTTATAACCCCACACGTCATTCATTAATTGTCTGCATCGGGTGGTCAATCCTGCCTACACTTCTTTATTGACTGAGCAGGCGTAGTACACAATGACCAGTCTGACGTCATGAAGATGCACCTATTGTTCCCTCTCTACAGGTGGCAAGTCGCACAAAGTGGGATACGAATGTAAGCCCGAATTACATAAACTTAATAAGAAGGTGTTTTGAAGCTTTGGTCAGCATACCTGACGGGAAACCTTGCATGATAAGAACTTACGGTTTCGCAGTTCAGATACTGGGAAAGTGGCCCAAGTTTGATTAAGAGGCCTTGCGTCTACCTCTTATTTCTCGAAACTTATAAAGTTATATGAGTCAGAGCAAAGATAAATATTGTCACGATAGAATAAAAGCAACTGAAGCGACACTCCAAAGACAGCATGAAGGGAAGATATTGTTTTCATTACTTTTAACAACTTCGAGGAAAAAATACAACAGAAAAATGGTCATGGTTTTTAAATATTTTATACCGTGATCTGTGATACTTATTTTCAAATAAAAGGTGGTTTGAGTAGGTTCATTGAAATGGGGTTTTCTTATTTTGACTGCAAAAATACTATTGCAACATGCTACGCGGAGCCTTAAGCCGCATTGCTGGTAAAGATCCCACCTTGAGTCGCGTTAAACCGGGCAGTCAAATCTCAGCTTAGCACAACCATAGAGGAAGGACATAGAAGGTGTTTGAACTGCCCGAGCTGTAACATCTGGCCACTGACCGCTTTCTGGCATGCCTGGTGTGTCCATAGCCAGGGCGCAGCGAACGCTTGCTACGCACCATCTGTTTCACAAGTTACCACGAAACCCCTTTGTACCCTATGATCGCCGCCGCAATTTGTCGATGGTAATCTGCATCCTTAAAACTTCGTGTACTGAGGTATACGACATTAAATATTCATGCTTTGTTGGAACTTGGTATGATCTCATGACAACATAAAATTTAATGTTTGCGCAATTGCTAATACATCACGCTATGTGCCCTAAATCTATATGTGCAGTCATTGCCCTTAATGAGCTCTTTCTTCTGGAGTTATTTTGGAAATAAATAGCCCGGTGGTTTACAAGATTTTGTGTTTTGTTTGAATCGTTTTTATTATGGCATTTGTACAAAAGCGTATTTTATGAGATTTCACGATCACTCCCTGTGATGAAATAGCGCATTTTGTTCCTAAGCTTTCCAGTAGTAGTGAACATATTGTTGGCCAGTCTTAGCGAAATTCGTACCAAGTCTTTGAACACTGATGTATTGGAGGGAGGAGAATAAAATTACAAACTTTGCATGGATAATGGAACAGTATGTTAAAATTTAAAAACTTTATTTACGATGACAAAAATGGGTCCAATATCAGGGATTTTTCTCTCTCTATTTCCTGGTCAAAGCAATAATTTGTATTTAATTGCAAGCAAAAAACAACAAGTATTGCTGGAATATTACTGGCCCCGCTTGTCCGCCTGAGATGCAGACAGTAATCGGGCATTTTTGGAATGTTTTCTATTGTTCGTTTGACCCGGCGGCGACCATCATTGAACACTTTGAAGTGCTCGAGTTGCAACTCCTGTGACCTTCCTCTATGATACCAGCAAGCTTTCATTTCTTGAACACCCAACGAGCCCGATGTCTTTAGACGTGCCGAGTTACCCTTGCGCCTGCGCTACGTCGAGATTTCAAGACAGATGCTCAAAGTTATGGCGTAAAATATAGTTTTCTTAAATACAACAATGTGAATTTTGTAAAGTACAACTTAAGAGCTAAATTTACGCGAGATGTTTCATGCTTTCATTAAAAACTTCACAATTTTTTCAGATATGAGTATACACTGGACCATTATGCTTCATGTTAGAAGTGTATCGATTGTGTTAACCAGTACTGTTATAGTTTACCTCGTCATAGGCCAGTAAATTAATTACCTAAACATCAATCATAATCGTTCTCAAAGATCTCTAAGGGAAATACAACTATAAATGTATAGGTGCTGTTTATTCGGAGTTGAATGTTAAACTGCAAATAGACCAGATAAAGTAATCAGTCAATGCTCATACTTATCTTTTTTTTTTTAAAGAGACAGGTACAGCATCCTGCGTATAAGTGGCAAACGTTTCAATTTATCAAAACGTTAGAATAGTAAGAACAATCAAAGACTGAATGGTCAAGGAAAAAGTCAGGCAAAACGCGTTATCATTATTGAAACAATTCTCTAATAAATTACTGCACTGAGCTGGTTATAGCAACAAAAGCGCAAGCGACATCATTGTCGAATCTAAGATGGAAATCCCAGATTACAAAATTATGAGGAAATTAAAAACCGCCAACAGGTAAAAATGATTTTACCTACTTTTCTTTGTCTTAGATCATGAACGTAACATTTCTTTTAATAATTCTTTGAATTATTTCAACACTTCCAACTCTTCTGTCTACCGTCATAAAGAAAGGATTTACCTCACGAGGAATGAACACCGTAAAAACTATCCTTTAAATTGATCGCAGTGGAGTCGATCTCGCAAAAGTTGTACTTCAAAGTAGAAGGTTTTTCATATGGAATGTTTAAAAAGGTCAATAACATTATTGTGTCTACATTACTACAGGAAACTGTGCATAAGCTCAATTTCCAGAACAAGTGTGCTGACAGTTTCCAGTCAAGACATTCTCTGAAACTCAAAATAAGCGCAGTTTTGCGCGTGGCTAAAGTCCTCAACTCCAGCATCAGTGCGTGACCTAGTGTTGAGTTGGCAAATCACCACGTCGCCGCCATCTAACCACAGACTGAATGAGCGACACAGGGGTTCAGCCCAACACGCCACTCCGCATTTTGCCAGTCCGTGGACCTGTAGACTCCTAACCTCGTGATTATGCAGGCACAGCCCCGGTGCGTGTTTGAAATGGGTACTCCAGCGATTCAGCTCACAAGCGGATATAGGGTTGAACTCACACGCTGCGAATTTTCGCTGGTCACAGAGAGAGTCTCCCCATCGCCCGCTGAATTTCTTGGCCATTCTGATGCAGGTCTCCGAACCACCACTTGGCTCATTGTTGGCCCAAGTTGCGTAACTGTGAGCTTCACTGTCACCATGGCACATAACCTGGCCCGAGTTTTCCAAATGTCTACAGCCGATCCACACTTCCAGATCAGCCTCGATCGTGACGCCCAAGGCCCCCATCCAATTTCTCATTTCCCGCCAGATGAAGTTCTGTTCTGCTTGCGAGTCTGGGACGACCATGCCACTTCCCGAACGGTTGCAAGCTTTCGAAGCCTGCTGCCACGTCATCTTCTCGGGAAGCAAGATGTAGCACGATTCCTTCTCCCGGGCAAGCCATCCTGAAGGGCAGATTGCTTTCCCTGGTCGAAAAATGTGACTGTTTAATAAGAAAACAACTGCCAACAACTCACACCTGGTGAATGTAGACATTTAGGCGAATTTTATTTGGTGCCACAACTACCCCTCCAAATTAAGCCAAGGATTCGAGAAGCGATCTTGGCTTCTCTAGTCAATTCCACAAGTGCGGAAGATGGTAACTCCACCAGCACTTACATTCAAAGAAATTTGTTTTGTCGTCGCCAAACCATCGAAATAATAGGCAAAGATGACGCACATCCTGTGGTGTTCATACGTTTTGAAATCCCTCCGTTTTTCCTTGCTTTCTAAGACGGTATAGATTTTCCTTTATTAATTTAGAACGAAGGTTATCACTCTTTTTACACCAATTATTAGTCCTTCCATCCTTGCGATTTAATGGTTACCCATCAGCTTCAACGGATTGCTTTCTGTTGCTCAAGGGGAATGAAACATAGAGAGTAATTCAACTGGAGGAGAAAAATAACAAGATGGTAAGCGACTGAGACCTTGAATATTCGAAGGGGAAAAATGATGGAGTTCATCTCAGGAAATATATTGTTTTAAGCAAACTGAGCTTTATACGGAGCCCCTAAAGGGACATTGCATTTTTTTATTTCGTGCGCACGACATATTCGTGCGTAGGACACCTTATCTCGTCCGCACGACTTTTATATCTCGTGTTCGCGAGATATTATGAACACATGCGCCCGCGAGCCATTAATGTATACCGGTATACATTAAAGCATTAAGTGAATTAGAAACAATAACTCCCGCTCTCTGGGAAACACCAACCTAATGGGCTCGTGGGCAAGTTATGTGTTCACAAGTGTAAATTATCATGGTCTTGCATGACACCAGTATTGACTTCCTAGTTAAGCATATAGTACCTTTAAATCTAAGAAAATGTCACACATAAAATTTCAACCATGCGCATTCGCTGGTACCACCACCAGTGTATTGAAACTGACGTCGACCTACAATTCACTCCATGGCCGCGAAAAGCCTACAAAAACTACTTACCAGCGTACAAACCAGTCGTCCATGAAGCTGTATAAAACCACAGAGTAAGAAAAGAGTGGGAAGTGCCCCTGTTAATGTTGATGACGAACCTCACCCCCTCCCCTTTTATAAAACTCTAATGTACGACAGCCATCTTCAAGGAATAATCCTAAAAACTCTATTAGCAAAAAGATGAAATCGACCGATTATTCCTTGAACTTTGTTTGCACGGACCAGTCTCTTTTGTTATCTTCTTAGCCATAGCAACACTTCTTTTAAGAAAACAGTCCGGAAAAATCGAAATTCATGGTGGCAGCTTTACTCTACGCCACTGAACTTAACACTTAGAGGCAACATGTATGATTACGTCCCTCCCCTTTATACACGAATACTGATGAAAAGAAGTCGTGCGCACGAGATAATTATGTCGTGCGCACAAGATTAAAAAAAAAATGGATGTCCCGTTAGAGGCTCCGAAGCTTTACACAACGCGGGTCAAGAAAATTGTGCTTCCTTCTGAACAACGATTATGACGTTTTAAGTTTAAGATTCTAAATAACTCCTCATAAATACGTTGCTTGAATCTCAACTTACCGTAATTTGTTGAATGTTAGGCGTGTGGTAACCTTTTGGCAGTACTTCCTTCCATATGCATCCCACGGAATGAAGCCCTTCGGTCCATTTCCAATTTGAAAATAAAAAATCTCCAATACACCAATTTTTAATATAGGCCTAGACCATTTTGGGTTCCAGTTCATTGATTTGTTTCAGCTGTGTAATTTCGCAATGCAATAAAAATTCTGTTTAAAACTGGAATTCTCAACAACCACCTTTATCGTTTTGGAGAATAAGTTGCAATTTTTCCTCAGTTCAAACTCCTTCAGTTTGACCAAGAAATGCAAATTAAGAAAACAATGGTAGGTAAGTACAAGAATAGAGATAATGAAGAAACAACCATTTATTATGAGTATTATGTTGCCACTTCCCTGTATTTTGGCGGCTGTCGTTCAGCCTAAAATCTGCAAAATTATGTAAGGAGGCAGGTCTGATCGTTGTTAAACCAACAATGCTAACAATATCACACCATTTGCCCAGATGTAAGCTGGGATACAACTTCTAAGAGTCCTCCAGTGAGACTCAACTGCTATTGTCAATGTAATCAGGTGCGTCCTCGTGTCGACCATCCACCTTCGATCCAGCGGAGGAGGTAGATATAGAATCATCGATTTGCGAGCGAGACATTCAAGTACACACGTCAATGAAGCATAATTTCCCACACACTGCATGCGGACACCCACACGCAATATATTCATAAGTGTGACGTCACTTCAGTTTAAACCACCCTTAGTTTGTACGCATGCGTAATGAATCCCACTATAGCCAGAAGTCAATAGAGGGATTTCACACCGTCTGCGCATACCTGCATCGAATCCGAGGCTCTCTAGCTCTGTGTTGAACTTCGTCGCGCGCACCCGCGGAGTCCACACAGTACATGCAGTATCCGGCTCGTAAGTGTGACGCCACTTCAGTTTGAACGACCACTGCACAAGATACACGGCCATCGCAGGTACGTTAGTTCGCAGTAAGTTGACGTTATTTCCTCTTTTGATTTCACGTGTCGAGTCATCCTGAAAGACTCTTCCACAAAAATTTGCAGACTGAAAAGTCTGAATTTAACATACCTTTATGTATTTTGTGTCTTGACTGCTTACTTTCAATCGTCTGATCGTATTCAGAGTTGAAGCTGACACATACAGCGGAAAGTTTTTGTTTGTGCCCTTTAGTCAGGCAGTTTTGACGTCTTCTACGTATTAATGCAATGCAGTAAAAGTAAACTCTAACCGAAACGCACTCGTTCCTTTCCACGTTGAACGGCTCGCACTCCTTTATTTTGGAACAAATCTTACGATTATTTTGACCAGCTAAGAGTAAGATTTTAGGCTTATGCTCCTTATAGATTAATATATAGTATTGTGTAGTTTCTACACATCATAAAACTCCTCGTTTTAAAATGAATTTGGGCTGCATCGATGCTAGTTTACATGTATCTTCATGCACGCTCCATTTATGGCTCTCCTTTCTCCCCGTTTCGTCGTCAACCCAACACAAACACAAAATTTGACCTCGCGTGTTTCCGAGATGACCCAGTTGGTTTTGGACAGAAATTACCTCTTATTCCTCTTATTTCTCTCTTGCTGGTGGCAAATCTACCTCCAAAACCGTAGATGTGGCAATATTTGACATCTTTACTGGACTTCTGAGACAAAGCCCGCTCAACGCACAAATCAAGCAGGAGCTCACAAGACGCGCCGCCGCCGGCACGACGCGACGGTAACAAGAAATAACACGACGCGACGGCACGATGCGACGTCACGAAGGTATGACGCGACGCCACGACGCCACGACGTAACCATTAAACACAACATAAAAGTAATAAGAAAGGAGGCGACGCCACGACGTGACAGCACGACGTAGCATCGCGTCGTGGCGTCGGGGCGACAGCACGACGCGACGCAATTTTGGTGGCTATAGATCACCAGATTTGTCCGCCCTCTATATTCCCGCAAGCCGCGCTACACGAGGTATGCTAAATTTTGCATCAACTAGCACAATTTGCATAATAAACGTTCGTCAGAGGGCGCACAACAACAGAATAAGTTTCGTCCAATCGATACTCGTCAGTTTATTCTTTCCTCAAGGAGAAATAAAAGTGTACTGGAAGAGGATTCTGCCAAAGCACCGTCTATAGGAAATACTCATCACAAAAAAAATCCAACTTTCGACCGAGCATGATTCAAACTGAAATAGACGCACTCCCTCGATTTATCCATGTAGGACTAGTGACCATTCCCTGATAATACGCCACTTGGGGAAAAATTAATTCAAAGGTGGTTGACCACACTTACAAGGTATCCAGATCGTATGTTAAATTGGTTGAGGAACACTTCTTGCATGATTTGGCCAATGTAAACTGGAAGTGTATGTTGGGTATGAATGACATTGACATTGACGTTTTTGAAGCACTCTCAAAAACTCCTGTCTGGTTAAATCCGGACATGTTGGAGCTGATTCACAAAAGGGATCACTCAAAAAGATGACTATCACCTCAAAACATGATGACTGCTGGAAAACATATAAGACTCTGCGCGAACAGGTCAATGCCAATATTAAACACACTAAAAAGGAATATTTCCATCAAGCCATCAGGTCAAGCAGGAATGGCAGTAGGCAAGTATGGAAGTATCTCAAACAACTTATTCCTAGTAAAAGTAACATGTGCTATAAGTAGTATTCATACAAATGGCGAAGACACTTCTGAGCCTGATGTTATTGCCAATGTGCTTAATGATTATTTGCAAGCATTGGACCCAAACTTGCGACAAAATTACCTTTTAGCACTGATTCAACCGGCAAATCTTGAGAATTCAGTCTGAAATGGAAATTTCCATTTTTAACCTGTCGGTGAGGATTTCGTGTTGAAGCAGCTTCAGGGACTTGCAGCTACCAAAGCCACAGGACATGACAATTGTCCTGCTAAGCTAATTAATGAAAAATAGCTGTCCCTGTCATTGCTGGTCCATTGACGCATCTTATTAATCTCTCACTGAATACAGGCGTTTTTCCAAAAAACTGCAGACTGGTAGAGAACAAGAATTACCCAAATACATAAAGGAGGTGACATTAAGAACCAAGTAACTTTAGACCCATATCAGTTATTCCTATTTTTTCAAAAATCCTTGAGAGAACAGTCTCCGACCAGCTAGCCTATATAATTAGGCCTATATGAACTCGAACTAGCTGCTAAATATCAACCAATCAGGATTCTAAGCACTACATTCAACCTCTACGGCCTAGATTAACATCTACGATGAATGGCTCAGTAACTTTGATAATGGTGATATGGTTGGAGTGGCCATGCGTGATCTTAAAAAGCATTCGCTAAGACTTTTAATATGTTCCCTTGAAAAACAGCTCTGGCTGAATGGGTTTACCGGGTATAATAAAGAATAATAAAAAAATATAAATAAATAAATCAAATGTTCCCTCACGGACTCTACGCAATCATAAACCTTTCATTGGCAAGTCCATTAATGTTCTCACCATTGGCCTACATGAGGCACCTCTTGTTTCGTAGAGCGGTCCACCCGTTTTCTAATTCGCCAGACACACAAGCTTTTTTTTTTTATTGTACAGGCGTATCAAATCCAAGATATCCTCTTTATAGGGGCAAAATATTGCAGGTGAATACCCTCGCCTTTCCCAGCGCCCTATAGTAGGGACGACGGAAGGATCACGTAGCTCGTTGTTACGGACTTGTCTATGAGGGCGCTTTACAATCAACCGTTCGTATCACAGGCTAAGAGTTTTCGTGGTTCACGGATTGCCGAGAGGAGTCATGTATAATTAAATTTTTGTGGATACACATTCCCGATGGTGTTGACGCTGCTTATAGTTCGTGGTGGCAGACCACATGATAGTTTCGTTTTTTGGAAAATTAGACTGTGGCCAACTGAATAAACTTTCATCTAGTTACGAGAAGACACATAAATATGACTTGATCATGTCTTTCAATTGTTCAGAGCACGAGTTGGGAGAAGTTTGTGGGAAACACCTCGATGCAATAAAATCTTAACGAGAGACGTACAGTTTCCAGAAGACTTAAGGAATTACTCAAGCTCTCTTCTAATATCGGCATTGTCAGGAGATGTCCAAAGTGCTTAACAGAGGAACCCTTATAGAGAACAGATGCAGAGATGTAGCGCTGAACAATAAAGAATTGCTCGTAAAACAGTGAGAAACATATATTTCGATGCCGTAAATTTGACCCAAAGGAAAACTGCATATCCTTGTCATTAGCATCCCGCCTTTTCTGTTTTTATAGCAGAAGTTGAAATCGTATCAAAATTATCGAGATATAAATAATTAGAACATGTTTATAACTTAGAATAATTATTACCCCTTCCTCCCCCTTCCTTATTAATTAAAACGCACATAATTATGACGTAAACTCTACAATTTCAGTTTTCACATTTTTATATTGTATACCTGTTCATTTTTAAATTTCAAAATAATTTT